TACAGTCCATGTCCCTAATTACTGTCCATTCTCCTTACTACTGCCCGTGTCCTTATTACAGTCCATGTCCCTAATTACTGTCCATTCTCCTTACTACTGCCCATGTCCTTATCTGCAGTCCATGTCCCTAATTACTGTCAATTCTCCTTACTACTGCCCGTGTCCTTCTTACAGTCCATGTCCATTATTACTGTCCATTCTCCTTACTACTGCCCGTGTCCTTATCTGCTGTCCATGTCCCTAATTACTGTCCATTCTCCTTACTGCTGCCCGTGTCCTTATTACAGTCCATGTCCCTAATTTCTGTCCATTCTCCGTACTACTGCCCATGTCCTTATCTACAGTCCATGTTCCTAATTACTGTCCATTCTCCTTACTACTGCCCATGTCCCTATCTACAGTCCATGTCCCTAACTACAACCCATTCTCCTTACTAATTACTGTCCATTCTCCTTACTACTGCCCGTGTCCTTATAACAGTACATGTCCCTAACTACTGCCCATTCTCCTTTCTACTGCCCGTGTCCTTATCTACAATCCATGTCCCTAACTATTGCCCGTGCCCTTATCTACAGTCCATGTCAATAATTACTGTCCGTTCTTCCCTAATTACTATCCATTCTCCTTACTACTGCCCATGTCCTTATCTACAGTCCATGTCCCTAATTACTGTCCGTTCTCCTTACTATTGTCCGTGTCCTTATCTAGAGTCCATGTCCCTAAATACTGTCCATGTCCTTATCAGCAGTCCATGTCCCTAATTACTGTCCGTTCTCCTTACTATTGTCCGTGTCCTTATCTACAGTCCATGCCCCTAATTAATGTCCATCCTACTTTCTACTGCCCGTGTCCTTATCGACAGTCCATGTCCCTAACTACTGCCCGTGTCCTTATCTACAGTCCAAATCCTTAACTACTGCCCATATCCTTATCTACAGTCCATGTCCCTAATTACTGCCCATTCTCCTTACTACTGTCCATGTCCTTATCTTGAGTCCATGTCCCTAAATACTGCCCGTGTCCTTCTTACAGTCCATGTCCATTATTACTGTCCATTCTCCTAACTACTGCCCGTGTCCTTATCTGCAGTCCATGCACCTAATTACTGTCCATTCTCCTTACTACTGTCCATGCCCTTATCTAGAGTCCATGTCCCTAAATACTGCCCATGTCCTTATCTACAGTCCATGTCCCTAACTACATCCCATTCTCCTTACTACTGCCCGTGTCCTTATCTGCAGTCCATTCACCTAATTACTGTCCATTCTCCTTACTACTGCCCTTGTCCTTATTACAGTCCATGTCCCTAATTACTGCCCATTCTCCTTACTACTGTCCATGTCCTTATCTAGAGTCCATGTCCCTAAATACTGCCCATGTCCTTATCTACAGTCCATGTCCTTAATTACTGTGCATTCTCCTTACTACTGCCCATGTCCTTATCTGCAGTCCTTGTCCCTAATTACTGTCCATTTTCCTTACTACTGCCCGTGTCCTTATTACAGTCCATGCCCCTAATTACTGTCCATTCTCCTTACTACTATCCAACAGTCCATGTCCATTATTACTGTCCATTCTCCTTACTACTGCCCGTGTCCTTATAACAGTACATGTCCCTAACTACTGCCCATTCTCCTTTCTACTGCCCGTGTCCTTATCTACAATCCATGTCCCTAACTATTGCCCGTGCCCTTATCTACAGTCCATGTCAATAATTACTGTCCGTTCTCCTTACTACTGCCCATGTCCCTATCTACAGTCCATGTCGCTAGTTACTGTCCGTGTCATTATCTACAGTCCATGTCCCTAACTATTGCCCGTGACCTTATTGCCCGTGTCCTTATTACAGTCCATGTCCCTAATGACTGTCCATTCTCCTTACTACTGCCCATGTCCTTATCTAAAGTCCATGTCCCTATTTACTGTCCATTCTCCTTACTACTGCCCGTGTCCTTATAACAGCACATGTCCCTAACTACTGCCCATTCTCCTTTCTACTGCCCGTGTCCTTATCTACAATCCATGTCCCTAACTATTGCCCGTGCCCTTATCTACAGTCCATGTCAATAATTACTGTCCGTTCTTCCCTAATTACTATCCATTCTCCTTACTACTGCCCATGTCCTTATCTACAGTCCATGTCCCTAATTACTGTCCGTTCTCCTTGCTATTGTCCGTGTCCTTATCTACAGTCCATGCCCCTAATTAATGTCCACTCTACTTTCTACTGCCCGTGTCCTTATCGACAGTCCATGTCCCTAACTACTGCCCGTGTCCTTATCTACAGTCCAAATCCTTAACTACTGCCCATATCCTTATCTACAGTCCATGTCCCTAATTACTGCCCATTCTCCTTACTACTGTCCATGTCCTTATCTTGAGTCCATGTCCCTAAATACTGCCCATGTCCTTATCTACAGTCCATGCCCTTATCTACAGTCCATGTCCATAACTACTGCCCATGTCACTAGTTACTGTCCATTCTCCTTACTACTGCCCGCGTCCTTATCTACAATCCATGTCCCTAACTATTGCCCGTGCCCTTATCTACAGTCCATGTCAATAATTACTGTCCGTTCTTCCCTAATTACTATCCATTCTCCTTACTACTGCCCATGTCCTTATCTACAGTCCATGTCCCTAACTACAACCCATTCTCCTTACTACTGCCCGTGTCCTTATTACAGTCCATGTCCCTAATTACTGTCCATTCTCCTTACTACTGTCCATGTCCTTATCTTGAGTCCATGTCCCTAAATACTGCCCATGTCCTTATCTACAGTCCATGTCCATAACTACTGCCCATGTCACTAATTACTGTCCATTCTCCTTGCTATTACCCGTGTCATTATCTACAGTCGAACTCCCTAGTTACTGTCCATTCTCCCTACTACTGCCCGTGTCCTTATCTACAATCCATGTCCCTAACTATTGCCCGTGCCCTTATCTACAGTCCATGTCAATAATTACTGTCCGTTCTCCTTACTACTGCCCATGTCCCTATCTACAGTCCATGTCGCTAGTTACTGTCCGTGTCCTTATCTACAGTCCATGTCCCTAACTATTGCCCGTGCCCTTATCTACAGTCCATGTCCATAATGACTGTCCGTTCTCCTTACTACTGCCCGTGTCCTTATAATTATCTACAGTCCATGTCCCTAACTACTATCCGTTCTCCTTACTACTGCCCATGTCCCTATCTACTGCCCGTGTCCTTATCTACAGTACATGTCCCCATCTACTGCCAGCTACTATATAGTACGTATTAACGGAGCCATGTAACAGATGATGTTAATCAGATTGGGTTTCTACGAGCTCCTCTTTACGACTAGAATATTTACACCGTCTAATATAATGCCATCCGCAAACAGCTTTGATAGGGTGTGATACACATGCAGTGTTTGCCTTAACTCTTTGTTTTAAAATATTGACAATAAGATAAGTTTACACTAGCCACACAAACGAGTAAAACTACATTTGCACTTTTTTATAGCTGTGAATAGGGGAGAATATTCACATAAAGTACAAGGAGGTTTTCCTGTGTCAACTCGGGGATAAACTGATATCTAAAGTGAATATTGGTCTCATATAATGTTTACTCTCTTTAACTCATCGAAAAAAATTGATCAAGTAGGATAAATCGATTGTTACTTATACGAAACAGATAAAATATTACGGCTCATATTATTCATCTGCTGCTTTATTGACGATTTGACCTAGTTATACAATCCTTGATGCATCTTACCTGACTCTCTTTTATTCACTTCTTTACTCGTTATATTAGTAAAAAATCGATACTGACGCTACGCTATCTAAACATTAACAATATATAGATAGCGTACCAATCAACAAAAATATAATTATGTCAGTTGCCGTCTTTGTTAGATATAACAATAGAGTGACGTCATGCGTCTAAATGAGAACGTCCCCCAACGAAAAACTGGACAATGAAGATACACAAAAAAAATGTTACCATGCATGTTGCACACAAGATACCTGCGCTCAATATGCTAAACCACAGAAAACATATTCTCTTAATTATTTGGAATAGTGGTCATAACACAGCAACAAATTTATCAGACAGGAACCTTAATGAAAATACGTGTTTGAACCTGTATCATATATTTTAAAGTCGATTGTTAGGGTTATCTCCTTTGTTTATGTTATCTCCTTTGTTAGGGTTTTCTCCTATGTTAGGGTTGTCTCCTTTGTTTGGGGTTATCTGATTTGTTAGGGTTATCTCCTTTTTTAGGGTTATCTCCTTCGTTAGGGTTATCTGATTTGTAAGGGTTATCATCTTTGTTAGGGTTATCTCATTTGTTAGGGTTATCTCTTTTTTTAGGGTTATCTCCTCCGTTAGGGTTATCTGATTTGTTAGGGTTATCTCCTTTGTAAGGGTTATCTCCTATGTTAGGGTTATCTCCTATGTTGGGGTTATCTCCTTTGATAGGGTTATCTCCTTTGTTAGGGTAATCTCCTTTATTAGGGTTATCTCCTTTGTTAGGGTTATCTCCTTTGTTAGGGTTATCTCCTTCGTTAGGGTTATCTTATTTGTTATAGAGTAATCTTATTTTCTAGTGTTATCTCCTTCGTTTGGGTTATCTCCTTTGTTAGGGTTATCTGATTTGTTAGGGTTATATCCTTTGTTAGTGTTATCTCCGTTGTTAGGGTTGTTTCCTTTGTTAGGGCTATTTCCTTTTTAGTGTTATCTCCTTTGTTTATGTTATCTCCTTTGTTAGGGTTTTCTCCTGTGTTAGGGTTTGCTCCTTTGGTGGGGTTATCTATTTTGTTAGGGTTATCTCCTTTGTTAGGGTTATTCCCTGTGTTAGGGTTATCTCCTTTGTTTAGGGTTATCTGATTTGTTAGGGTTATCTCCTTCGTTAGGGTTATCTCCTTCATTAGGGTTATCTCCTATGTAAGGGTTATCTTATTTGTTAGGGTTATCTCCTTCGTTAGGGTTATATGATTTGTTAGGGTTATCATCTTTGTTAGGGTTATCTCCTTTGATAGGGTTATCTCCTATGTTAGGGTTATCTCCTATGTTAGGGTTATCTCCTTTGTTCGGGTTATCCGTCTCGTCCGGTTACTTTCTTTGTTATCATTATCTCTTTTGTTAAGATTTTCATTTTTGGAAAAGGTAATCTTTTTTTAGGGGGTTATCTCAGAGTTTTATTTTTGTAAGCGTTCCCTTTTTTGTTATCTTCCTTTTTAGAATTTTACATCTTTTTGTAATTTCCTTTATTTTCATTATCACTGTTGTGAAAGTATTAACCTCAATATTATCCCATTGTTCGTTGCGCTTTCACGGCTGAATCAGTATTCGGAGAGACTGAACTGGGATTAAATGCAATGCTAGCAGTCTATTATGTTAGACCAGTGCTAAATTTAAGCAAATCAATTTCTGTATTTGTGTTTCACAAACTAGTGCAGATTTAAAATGTATTTACTTACGCGGGCGTGTCGTATATAACTCTATCAACCACACTTTTTAAATTGACGTAATGATCTTCCTCGTCATCGTCCCTGCTATATACATTACTGGCCATTTCTGTTACCGGTTTATGCGCCCCTATATACACCCTGTAAATGTAAAATGACTTGATCAAGATTAAAAAGGTGATGAAGAAGAACACATGCTTTTATTCAGGATGTAATTTTCCAAGTATGTACATTTTCATTTTGTTCTAATTCTACCCTAGTTTTATCAATTTCCAGTTTGAATTACAATTTTGTGGAATATTACATATTTGTTAACATAGTTAACAGGCCGTATAGATTTTGCTTTTTCAACTGCCCATGTCCTTATCTACAGTCCATGTCCCTAAATACTGTCCATTCTCCTTACTACTGCCCGTGTCCTTATCTACAGACCATGTCCCTAATTACTGTCCATTCTCCTTTCTACTGCACGTGGCCTTATCTACAGTCCATGTCCCTAACTACTGCCCATGTCCTTATCTACAGTCCATGTCCCTAACTACTGCCCATGTCCTTATCAGCAGTCCATGTCCCTAGTTACTGTCCATTCTCCTTACTACTGCCCGTGTTCTTATCTACAGTCCATGTCCCTAACTACTGCCCATGTCCCTATCTACTGCCCGTGTCCTTATCTACAGTCCATGTCCCTAACTACTGGCCGTTCTCCTTACTACTGCCCATGTCCCTTACTACTGCCCATGTCCTTATCTACAGTCATGTCCCTAACTACTATCCGTTCCCCTTACTACTGCCCATGTCCCTATCTACTGCCCGGGTCCTTATCTACAGTACATGTCCCCATCTACTGCCAGCTACTATATAGTACGAAGTTAACGGAGCCATGTAACAGATGATGTTAATCATATTGGGTTTCTACGAGCTCCTCTTTACGACTAGAATATTTACACCGTCTAATATAGTGCCATCCGCAAACAGCTTTGATAGGGTGTGATACACATGTAGTGTTTGCCTGAACTCTTTGTTTTAATATATTGACGATAAGATAAGTTTACACTAGCCAAACAAACGAATAAAAATATATTTACACTTTTTTTATAGCTGTCAATAGGGGAAAATGTTTAAATAAAGTACAAGGAGATTTTCCTGTTACAACTCGGGGATAAACCGGGCAATAGAATGTGAAGATTGGTCTCATATAATGTGTACTCTCTTTTACTCATTGTAACTATATCGAGTAGGATATATCTTTTGTTATTTATCCGAAACAGATAATATAGTGGGACTCATATAATTAATCTGTTTCGTGTATGTCATGATCGAGGATGTACCTTACCTACAAGATGTTTGACTCGCTGTTATTCTCTTCTTTACCCGATATATGAGTAAAAAAGCGATACTGACGTTATGAATGCAATAATAAGTATATATTGTTAATGTTTAGATAGCGTACCAATTAACCAACAATATTATTATGTAAGTTGCCGTCTTTGTTAGATATAACAATAGAGTGACGCCATGCGTCTAATTCAGGACGTCCCCCGACGAAAAACTGGACAATGAAGATACACAAAATAAATTGTAACCATGCATGTTGCACACAAGATACCTGCGCTCAATATACTAAACCACAGAAAACATATTCTCTAAATTATCTGGAATAGTGGTCATAACACAGCAACAAATTTATCAGACAGGAACCTTAATGAAAATACGTGTTTGAACCTGTATCATATATTTTAAAGTCGATTGTTAGGGTTATCTCCTTTGTTAGTGTTCTCTTTTTGTTATCTTCGTTTTTACAATTACATATTTTTTGTTATTTCTTTTATTATCACTGTTGTGAACGTTGTTTCATTTGTTTATATTTTTCTGGTTTTTTTTAGGGTTATTTCTTCGGTTCGCTTATCTCTTTTGTTAAGGTTATCACACTTGTTAGGGTTATTTTTGCAAAGTTTTCTTCTTTATTCGGGTTATCTCTGTTGTTATGGTTATTACAATTGTAAGGGTTGTCTCTGTTGTTAGGGTTGTTTCTGTTGTTAGGGTTGTCTCTGTTGTTAGGTTTATCTCTGTTGTTATGGTTATCACACTTGTTAGTGTTGTTTCTGTTGTTAGGGTTGTCTCTGTTGTTAGGGTTATCTCTGTTGTAAAGGTTATCTCTGTTGTTATGGTTATCTCTGTTGTTAGGGTTGTCTCTATGGTTAGGGTTGTCTCTGTTGTTAGGGTTGTCTTTGTTGTTAGGGTTGTCTCTGTTGTTATGGTTGTCTCTGTTGTTATGGTTGTCTCTGTTGTTATGGTTGTCTCTGTTGTTATGGTTGTCTCTGTTGTTATGGTTATCTCTGTTGTTAGGATTGTCTCTGTTGTTAAGGTTGTCTCTGTTGAGAGGGGTGTTTCTGTTGTTATGGTTGTCTCTGTTGTTATGGTTATCTCTGTTGTTAGGGTTGTCTCTGTTGTTAGTGTTGTCTCTGTTGTTATTTTATCTCTGTTGTTAGGGTTGTCTCTGTCGTTAGGGTTGTCTTTGTTGTTAGGGTTGTCTCTGTTGTTAGGGTTGTTTCTGTTGTTATGGTTGTCTCTGTTGTTATGGTTATCTCTGTTGTAGGATTGTCTCTGTTGTTAAGGTTGTTTCTGTTGGGAGGGTTGTTTCTGTTGTTATGGTTGTCTCTGTTGTTATGGTTGTCTCTGTTGTTAGGGTTGTCTCTGTCGTTAAGGTTGTCTCTGCTGTTATGGTTGTCTCTGTTGTTATGGTTATCTCTGTTGTAGGATTGTCTCTGTTGTTAAGGTTGTCTCTGTAGTCAGGGTTGTCTCTGTTGTTAGTGTTGTCTCTGTTGTTATTTTATCTCTGTAGTTAGGGTTGCCTCTGTTGTAAAGGTTATCTCTGTTGTTAGGGTTATCTCTGTTGTTAGGGTTGTCTCTATGGTTAGGGTTGTCTCTGTTGTTATTTTATCTCTGTAGTTAGGGTTGCCTCTGTTGTAAAGGTTATCTCTGTTGTTAGGGTTTTCTCTGTTGTTAGGGTTGTCTCTATGGTTAGGGTTGTCTCTGTTGTTGGGGTTGTCTCTGTTGTTAAGGTTGTCTCTGCTGTTAAGGTTGTCTCTGTAGTTAGGGTTGTCTCCGTTGTTGTAAAGGTTATCTCTGTTGTTAGGGTTGGCTCTGTTGTTAGGGTTGTCTCTGTCGTTAAGGTTGTCTCTGCTGTTATGGTTGTCTCTGTTGTTGTGGTTATCTCTGTTGTTAGGGTTGGCTCTGTTGTTAGGATTGGCTCTGTTGAGAGGGTTGTCTCTGTTGTTATGGTTATCTCTGTTGTTAGGGTTATCTCTGTTGTTAGTGTTGTCTCTGTTGTTAGGGTTATCTCTGTTGTTAGGGTTGTCTCTATTGTGAGGGTTGTCTCTGTTGTTAGGATTGTCTCTGTTGCGAGTGTTGTCTCTGTTGTTATGGTTATCTCCGTTGTTAGGGTTGTCTCTGTTCTTAGAGTTGTCTCTGTTGTAAGGGTTGTCTCTGTTGTTATGGTTATCTCTGTTGTTAGGGTTATCTCTGTTGTTAGGGTTGTCTCTGGTGTTACGGTTGTCTCTGTTGTTAGGGTTGTCTCTGTTGTTAGGATTGTCTCTGTTGAGAGTGTTGTCTCTGTTGTTATGGTTGTCTCTGTTTATAGGGTTGTCTCTGTTGTTAGGGTTATCTCTGTTGTTAGGGTTGTCTCTGTTGTTAGGGTTGTCTCTGTTGTTAATGTTGTCTCTGTTGTTAGGGTTTCTCTGTTGTTAGGGTTTTCTCTGTTGTTAGGGTTGTCTCTGTTGTTAGAGTTGTCTCTGTTGTTATGGTTGTCTCTGTTTTAAGGGTTGTCTCTGTTGTTAGGGTTATCTCTGTTGTTAGGGTTGTCTCTGTTGTTAGGGTTGTCTCTGTTGTTAGCGTTGTCTCTGTTGTTAGGGTTGTCTCTGTTGTAAGGGTTATCTGTGTTGTTAGGGTTGTCTCTGTTGTTAGGGTTTTCTCTGTTGTTAGGGTTGTCTCTGTTGTTAGGGTTATCTCTGTTGTTATGGTTGTCTTTGTTGTTAGGGTTGTCTCTGTTGTTAGGGTTGTCTCTGTTGTTAATGTTGTCTCTGTTGTTAGGGTTATCTCTGTTGTTAGGGTTGTCTCTGTTGTTAGGGTTATCTCTGTTGTTAGTGTTGTCTCTGTTGTTAGGGTTGTCTCTGTTGTTAGGGTTGTCTCTGTTGTTAGTGTTGTCTCTGTTGTTAGGGTTGTCTCTTTTGTTAAGGTTGTCTCTGTAGTTAGGGTTGTCTCTGTTGTTATTTTATCTCTGTAGTTAGGGTTGTCTCTGTTGTTAGGGTTGTCTCTGTTGTTATTTTATCTCTGTTGTTAGGGTTGTCTCTGTTGTTATGGTTGTCTCTGTTGTTATGGTTATCTCTGTTGTTAGGGTTTTCTCTGTTGTTAGGGTTGTCTCTGTTGTTAGAGTTGTCTCTGTTGTAAGGGTTGTCTCTGTTGTTATGGTTATCTCTGTTGTTAGGGTTGTCTCTGTTGTTAGGGTTGTCTCTGTTGTTATTTTATCTCTGTTGTTAGGGTTGTCTCTGTCGTTAGGGTTGTCTCTGTTGTTACGGTTGTCTCTGTTGTTAGGGTTGTCTCTATTGTAAGGGTTATCTGTGTTGTTAGGGTTGTCTCTGTTGTTAGGGTTTTCTCTGTTGTTAGGGTTGTCTCTGTTGTTAGGGTTATCTCTGTTGTTATGGTTGTCTTTGTTGTTAGGGTTGTCTCTGTTGTTAGGGTTGTCTCTGTTGTTAATGTTGTCTCTGTTGTTAGGGTTATCTCTGTTGTTAGGGTTGTCTCTGTTGTTAGGGTTATCTCTGTTGTTAGTGTTGTCTCTGTGGTTAGGGTTGTCTCTGTTGTTAGGGTTGTCTCTGTTGTTAGTGTTGTCTCTGTGGTTAGGGTTGTCTTTGTTGTTAGGGTTATCTCTGTTGTTAGGGTTGTCCCTGTTGTTAGTGTTGTCTCTGTGGTTAGGGTTGTCTCTGTTGTTAGGGTTGTCTCTGTCGTTAGGGTTATCTCGAACGTCTCTGATCAGCAACTAATGTAGGTATATTATTCATTTATAAGTTATAGATACTACATATGAATTTAAATGCGTCTATTGATTATTTGGTTTTACACTAACTTTGTTATATAGCAAGCAGGTGTTTATGATATAGAATCATCTTCTTATCCTATTATCTTTGAATTGCCTGGCACGATATATCCAGTGAGTCAGGTACCTGCGCAGAATTGGTAATAAATCTTGTCCGAGGAAGATACCAATCTTTAAAACCACAACATCAACACACAATGACAAGTTAAAAAAACAGAATCGATTTCAAGTGATAACATCTTACACCGATGAGATATCCATAAAAAGGATGGGTGCCAATTCGGGCCTTTTGGTGCATACCTTGGGGTCATGCCGTCATGATATGACATGAAATTAAGGTCAGCTTGGAGACCATTCCGAGATATGAGGGGGAAAAATGGGGGGACCAAAATCACAAACGGTCTCCTTTTGACAAAACTGCATGTTCATTTTTTGAAGTTTCTTCATAAGTTTGATGCATTGTGTAACAGTCAAGCTGCAAATTATAAAAATGGCTGAAAAGGGGTAACGCTGGTGGAAAAGTAAGTATTTACATACGTCTGTTGTTGTACTAGTGTAATATATCTGAAAGTAGGATACATTGAGTGGTGTACATTTGATAAATACATATACATAGTACTTTGGAGATATTTAGTTGATCTTGTGCATCGAAGGAGACAACGTAATGAAGGAAAACAGATACGGAATGAATGTTTTTAACCTGTATCAAAATGTATACGCAATTAGATTATCATTTTATGGCTCTGATAAAAAAAAATGAAAGGAATGTACATACTCCTTTGTTATCTGTATTGTGAATATTTACGTTACTACCGAAGGTATCGACCGAGTTCTAGTTTGTTACCCGGAAGTTTTGGAATATTTTTGATTTCCAATTTAACTCATATGTGCTGGGGCTTTTATGAATTAATACATGTGTGATGATGACGTCGTCGACGACGACGATAACGACGACAATGATGATGATGATGATGATGATGATGATATGATGATGATGATGATTGAATTGTTATCATCTAGATTATTTACGGAACAAGCAGATTACCGTAGTTACAAAACGCACAAATCGTCATAATTTATGAATATTGTTTTACTGGTATGATCTTCTGATCGAGTGGTAGATTTTTTATATAAGGTTCGTACGACAAGAAGTACTTAATTATATATATATGCATACATGATTAAGGAGGCTTGGTAGGACTTATTACATTAAATTACACGATGAAATTTTCAAAAGATAGACAGGGTCAACACACAATATCAAATTTCGAAGTCAAAATTGATCTGAAAAGAATTTACATTGTAACTGCGATGAAACATCGGAAGGTCGATCGAGGTCCAGCTCCCTGCCGCCATTGAATAATTATTTAAAGACGTCGCAGATATAAGTGTATCTTTACACCTATGTACTTTGTAATAGATACAAATAAAAAGATAGCAGTCTAGCATAGTCACTAGAAATTAAATACAATATAATGAGGCTTCTGTACTAATTACTTTGTCGGTGCAGAAAGCCAAAGACTGCACCATATGGCTATTATATACATAATAAATAATATTAGACACAGCTGTATGTAAAAGTACAAAATACCTGATATGGCAGTCATTTCGACCATGTTCAGGACTTATTTTGAATATGTTTTCACACCAAATGCCATAAAAAAGGACTAGTCCAGAAATAAAGGCCGATCAGGTTCCGGTTATAGTATATTGATTCCTACGATGAAAATCGTAGCCAGAAAAACACTACTGGTTTCATGACAATCGTGGTATGTAACGAGTGCATATATCTGTAATTTGTTATTACATTGTGAAGTCGGAAAGACATCGCACAACATTGGAACTTCGCTCTGGATACAACAGCCATGATAAAAACTGTGTATCTTAAATTCGTTTCATCTTCGTATGAGAATATGAAACTCAGGCGACCCGACGTTAGGCAGAGCCTCGGTAAACTCAATCCTTCTATTTTCGTTTTGCAAAGCTAATATATACAATAAATAGAGACTCATTTACGATTTTAGTTGTCTCAGCCGTCCTCTGTCTAACCGAACTAATTGAAAGAGTACGTAAAATCAAACAAACAAACAAGGGTAAATACATATATATGTGTGTGTATTAATAACTAGTCGAGTAAAAAGGATCTGCACGTTGCTATCGCTGCCCTGGTACCAGGAAGTTAATTATTTAGTTTATCTCCAAAAAGTCATGGTAGACTAGCCAAGGCGTAGTCGTTTAAAATATACCGTAAAATGTGTTATCGTCTAAAGAATTAACTGTACACACCCACAAACTTGCCAAGTTTTCTTAGAGAGGCAATCTAACGTATATACGTACCTGACAGTCTTGTTGCAGTCAATCAGGTAACCTGGTATTACCTGTATACAAATATACCTGTCTGCTTGTTTACTGTTGACGTCACATATTACATGGGTATTTCGCTTACAACAGATAACCACGGTAGACGTACCTGACAAGTCATCCGATCATTACAATGTATGTCACTGTTTATAGCACGTATGCGCCTATCTGTGTCACCGCAACATTCTTGTATATCAGATGTCTAACCTTGAAATGAGCTTGAATATATATATATATATATATATATATATACATTACATTGTCATAATAAGTATTATTTACATTACATTGTATATAAATAAGAAAAATAAAAGACAAGAGTTTCTGCGACTTCCCTATATATATATAGATATAATTAAATCTCGTTTGACAACCCACAATACGCTTTCAAGTATTTTATTCCAATATCTCATTCATACATATTTTATTATGAAACGGCAGGACGGAAAGTAAACATATTACATTATCTATACCTTCTTTAAACCAGCGAGACTCTAAGTAATAAAGAAATACAATCTGTCAAGCTTACATTATATATATATGTCTTACCTATACCTGTATTTAATGTGTCTATGTGACAAATGTTGCTTTCACACACAAAAGATTGAAATCTTCAAAGTTGACCTGCAGGATTGATTTCGAGCAAATTTAACGAGTCCAAATTGAACAAAATATCGATATCTGGAACCTGCATTTTAAACATGCATGCCAAGACAAGCGAATGCTTAGTGTTCTAATGTGTTTATGGGTTTATTTTCTCTGTGTATAATTAGATAACCCATTATGGTTTAAAGTGGGGAAACAGAATAACAAAATCCTCATCTCGTCCGAGTTCGATTGCACATATAAAACTGGTTTGTGGTTTTAAACAACAAGAATGTATATATATATATATATATTTCGTAGGTCGACAGACAGAATATAATTAGCATATGTCTAGGCATTTGTCATTCCTATTAAACTACATCAAACAGTTTCCTTTCACGGTCATGGGTGATGGGTTATAAAGTTATAAAATTTGAAATGTGGTACTCTTGTTTAAGTTCCAATTTAGTGTGTAAAATTTGTCATTTCATAGCAGCTGTTCCGGAAAAAATGATGTACTAGTCGGTATTTTCCATGCAAATAAACTCTTTTAGTTTGTTGTTAAAAATCGACGTGGACTTGTTTTTTTTTACCGTTCGTTCAAAATGACATCTGATGAGGTTTTTAATACAATATTCATTATGTATCACACAAATGAGCGTTTCAAGCATGTATTACACTCACAGAAAATACGAAACTAATGATACTTTTACCAAGATATATTTCATCATATTTGACAACAAATATATATCTATGCAAAGCCGGCCTCTCTAATAATCCTTTATATGTTTTTTGTAATCTAGATAGGGAAACAATAATTCATACATTATGGGAGTGTGCCATTGTACAAAACTTCCTATACAGTTTTGAAACATTACTAGAAGCTTTAGTTATCCCATTTTCTTTTAATAAGGAATCCTTCCTTTTCGGAAGTGTCACAGTCAGGAATAGGCAACAGACTAGATAATGAAATTTTAATTTTGATCAAACACTATATTTATAAAACAAGATGCCTTCAAAACAATTTGTCAGTAAATGCTTTAATTAACAGCATAAAAGACCATCATTCTGTACAAAAATATATAGCATGTTGCAAGGGGGATAATTTTGTAAGAAAACTGGAAAGAGAATGGAAAAAATGGAACCACCTCCTGGAATTATAAGTCAAAATTAAATAATTTAATATCATCAAGTCAGCAGATACAATACATCTCCTCCCACAGTATAATTCTCATTTTATATTTTAAAAATACACTGATGCACATTTTCACAAGGACTTTTTTTTTTGGTAGTTATGTCCCTTTTACCATACCTGTATTGAATATTGCCTGAACTCCAAATATATATTTTTTGTCCCTTTTTTGTGAATTTAAGTTGATGTTTCTGTCTGAACTTATTAAAGTTAATCTCTTTTATGATATAAATATATTTTGTCCTGAGTATTACCCTCAATTCTCAGCCACCTTTATATGGCTGTATTTACTTGCAGTTTAAAGCCGAAAGCACCTTACTTACAATTAATACAGAAGATTATCTTATAATCTTATTCTAAACATAAAGTTTGTTTATTATTGAGCTGCAGTGCAAAAACTAGTTTCTCCTTTTTCTTCTTCTTTCTGTTGACTTTCTCCGTTTTTCATTGCTATTTTTTTCCTTCTTCTTCTTTTCTATTCTCTCTCTCTCTGTTCTCATAAAGGCAATATATGTGTACATAGGTACCATTACATGTACTTGTGTCTAATATATCAACTGATGTAAGTAAAAGTATATATGAGTCGTGTGAGGTCTGAATATATAATATGAATTGTTTGAATGTAAATATACCATATATTGCAAAAAAATCTTGAATAAAAAGAAAATTACAAAAAANNAAAAAAAAAAAAAAAAAAAAAAAGGTTCTTTTAATGGTGTAGGTTCCTTTTGTAATTCCGATAGATTCAACTTCTTTATCCGATAGGGCATAACATGATATACATTCATCCAAAGCTGTTTTTCGTGTGTTATACTGTTTCTTTAAGTTTTACTTTATCTAGTCCATACAACATGTCTAAACTGATTGGTTATATGTCTTTGAAAAGTACTTTCCTACGAACACTTTAATCTCATATAATCTTTTTATCCATTTGATCTTGAGGTATCTCACAGAGGATGTGATATGTGTCATAGTAAGGCACCCTTTCTGAATACTAGCGATGAGTGTAGCTCTTTTACTTCTTTCACACTTAAAGTTCTATATGAAACTTGAACTGTCGCCTATGGGCTAACTTATACCCCCGCATTCCGCCTGCTATTTGTCCGTGTAGGGGCTAAAAGATCAAGGGTCATGAAAAAGTCTAACCTCAGATGTCGTATCACAGACCGATGGAAAAGACAAACACCATTACTGTGACCTTTGACTCAATGACCTCGTAATTTTGCTACATATACTCCAATGTATGTGTATACAAAATACCTACCATTTCTGCGATAGTTAGTTAGCCATTTCAGTAACATAATGCATCTGTGATCTTTGACCTTTGACCCCATGGCCTTGGAAGTTTGTCACAATATAGCTTGTATAATTGGCTACGATACTCTAATGTATATGGGTATTCAAAATACCTACCGTTTCCGATCGAGATATTTAGCCATTTCAGTAACGTAATTTATTTGTGACCTAGTGACATCTGACCCAACGACCCCGGAAGTTGTCAGTAGAATAGATTGCATTTGCCTACCGTTTCAGAGATATTTAGCCATTTCAGTAACGTAATTGATTTGTGACATTTGCCCCATGACCTCAGAAGTTTGTCGGAAGAGAAGCTTTCGTTAATGCCTATAACATTCCAATGTATATGTGTATACAAAATGCCTACCATTTCCGAGATAATTAGCCATTTCAGTAACGAAATGTACTGTCTACAGAAATCAAGGGCAATAACTCTGGTAAATATTGAAGGAACATAATGGAGTTCTGGGAGACACAAGCTCATATGAGGTATAACATGTGTGTAAAGTTTCATCAAAATCCCTGCATAAACCTAGGTAGGAGGAGTAGGAGGTACAAATTTTGCGAGTGGGTGGGGAATAATTAAAGAGCTGCATTCAGCGTTTTGATGAACTCCTGTGTTAGACTTTGGAGACTAGTAAAAAGGTGAACAAACAGTGGTATGACAAGGGGTTTCAATACTGAAATACGGCCAACCAGAGAGTGAGGTCTCTATATGTCCAATATATTAAAACTTTAAATTATTTATCTATTTGTTGTAAATTAGGTTCAAAATTTAGCCTTTCCATTTCTTGCAGATCAAGTGCAAATACAATGCCTAATAATCCTGAAGTTAAAAGTAGACCACTTAAGATTCAAATCTTCACAATTTTTTCCCTGCGAATACTTTTTATTTCCTATACAATACAGACTACATTTGTCTACGTTTATTTTTAGTCCCGTGATATGCATATTGCTGTGTACAGAGACTGACTAGTGCCATCAAGTGGAAGATAGATATCATCAGCATATATATTGTCCAAGTAAAACTCCAGATATAACTATTCCTTTAATACCATTATTCGATTTTGTTGCTAAAGTAAAAAATTCTATCCCTATTATAAATTTAAGATATGGAGATAGTGGATCCCCTTGGCGAACCACGCTCTAGATTAAAAAGGGTGATACAAATGATCGCCCATTGTTAATAATACTGATTTTTCAGTTATTATACAGAAGTTTGGTCCAGGATTGTAATTACTGACCAAAGTTGAAGGAGCCCAATGCCTTGTCTATAAAACTCCATTCAATTGAATCAAAGGCCTTTTCGAAATCTAACATATACAATAATCCGGATTAAGGGTTTTTTCTTCCAACATACATACATTGCATCATTCAAGTATTCATTCGGCTCACCTCGGCAGATTCCGGTACCCTACATCTAACTGCCGAGGTGTGCCGAATGACAAGTCTTGTGTTATAAGCTATAAACCTACGTTTTATAAAACCTGTCTGTGTTACACTTATTTGACTTGGGAGGGATTCTTTAATCCTGTTAGCTTTTGCAGCTGAAGCTTACAAGTTTACATTCAGAAGTGAGATTGGTCTCCATTTTTTTTTTAATAACGTCTGTCTTTATGTTTTATTTGAATAATTATACTCTGATTCCGATATTCTGAAAGTAACCCTGTTCTGTATGCACAATTTATTGATATGACCAAAAATGTTCCCTTGTCTTTCCAAAAGTATTTAAAGCCTTGAATCCAACCCTACTGACTTTGTACTTTTGCCATTTTTCATGTTTTTTAATGTCTTAGTCATCAAAAAGTTACTTTTTCTTTTTCATGCAGTTTCACCCGATGCTGAAAAAAATATGAATTTATAAGAGAGTTGGGATCTGTAAATCTACTAGTATACAATTTAAAACGAACACTTCTGCTTTTAGTATTTCTTCCTGATTATCTAATATATTCCCATCTTCTGTGATTAGTTCTGTTATAGAATTATTCACAAAACGTCTCTTTTTCAAATCACAAACATATTTTGTCGCTTTCTCTCCATTTTCATACCAATTTGCCTTTGACCTTAACATCAATCCTTCTAACTGCTTTTACGGATGTTTTCTAGATGCTGTTATTACTCTCAAATTGTCAAATAGATACCATCAGTAGGATTTAAGTTCAATTCTTTTTCTAATGTTGATATTTTTGTCTCTAAATATTTCTCTAATTTCCTGTTTTGTTTTCCTTGTGCTATTGAAAATGTGATGTTGATGGATCTTATTTTCATTTTCAAAATTTCAAAGAACAATTAGTCATTAGTTCTAAATACTAGGTCTTCCATGTCTTACCTCTACGCACATATTCACATATTGTCTCTGTAATGCAGTTTTTTTGGGTTTTTTTTTTTTTTTGTCTTTTGCATATATGTATGTAGTGTCTACCAAACATGATGTGTTGTGTTTTCAATATCCTTTCCCCTTTCAGTGTTTGTAAAATCAACTTCTCAAGCAATGCCTGAGTGGTCTGTTTTATATCCCGGTATAATCTTTGAGTCTTTAGTTCGTTAATGTCTTCTGAGACCAGGGAATAATCTAATCCACTCTGTTGTACGGAGTTTTTTTCGTTTCCATGTGAAATTCCTCGATTCAGGATAAAAATTTCTCCGTGGATCAACAAGTTCAGAAGTATATATTATATATTTTTTATCATTTCCTGAGCTTTTTGATTATTATCATTACTAGTACTATGTCTAATATTGTGTGTATCCATATCTTTGTCTTGTACAGCATTCCAGTCAACACATACATGTAATATTAAAGTAGAATTATTGAATACTTTCAAACTATTAAGTAAGTTTGGGCAATCCAGAAAATACTCTATCAATTTAACTTTTGCGGACGTTAAATTGAAAATGCAAGTTTTAAAAATCGAATTCGCCAAATAAACCTTGCTGGCCATTTTTGAAAATGGACCATGTTTTGTGCGTGGGAGCAAAATGTTATGCACGCAAATTCAATACAGGTACCATATTTAAATTAATTAGTCGTTCATAACTATTTCTATCAATTAATAACAATTTTTATTCTTGAAAAATGCATCAAAAAGCAAATATTTTAAACTTGAAAATGTTTTTAAGACATATTGTATAGCTATATATTTTTCAATGCAACGATAGTGGTCAACCTTTTTTCAAATATGTATTTATTGAACTTAAGTTGGCCTTGCCACATTTAATTTCTTATACGATTGCACAACTATACCTCTTACATGTATCAAAGTTTGTCTTGTAAGTAATTTTCTCTGTTTTCTTGATCCCAAATGGGAGGAAGAAACCATTTCACACAAGTTAGATGTTAGTATAGACAAGGAATTAGATAGCATATAAGCTAATTCCGTGGTATATATATATCCATGGAAAACTAAATACATGTAGCCTCTAAATCGGTCCTTGCGTGGTAAAAGTATTTTTTTCCGTATTAATCTCTTAAGCTTACATGTACAAAAATGTAGAATATTTTTTTTTTTTAAAGTGTCATAAATTAAGAAATCAACGGTACAATTTGTAAATGTGTATAAAGTTATGTTTATACATATACTGGTTAGTATCATAACGTGGCCAAGTGGACACATTTAATTTGTCATTACCCTTCAGACAGATTGTACAATACCGTCCTGGTCCGTGTATAATCTTTTAAATCAGCGTTCCGCACAAAAACTTTTGTTAATTTCAGTTGACCTCGGGAGTTATGTTTGTTACAAGCGGTAAGTCTAGAGGAAGTCCGATGTGTGTTTCCCACTTCCGGGTGATGCAGAATGGCAGATGCCGCTAAATATCAGAAATTAGCATCAGAATATGCCAAGGTTTGTGGAGATTGTTAAACGTTACCTTTTATAATAAGCATACAACTAAAAATCGATTCGTATATGATATAAGCGTGATGTATTTAGCTATGTCAGTATGTGCGATTTTGTGTTTTTTTGGTGGGAAAGCATGTGAATTACCTTACTAAAAACGCCCACCAGCCGATATCATTATCGGATTATGAGATAAAAACGGAAAGTGAGGTGTTCTCTTACAAGGGGTTGGAACGGTGTAATATCGCTTTATACGATCGTTCATTGTTGAAAATGCATGCATGTATTAATTGGGCAATTCAGGCCTAGTTGGAGGCTTGTATGTTGAACTTGTCAGTTAGATAATCTTGTATTGTGAATTATTGTAGCGGAATTTGACTGGGTCGATCGCCGGCTCAATATTGGTTAGAGCGTCCGTTTAGAGGTCACGGGTTCGAATCCCTCTCTGGCCGTGCATATTCCTCTCCTATCTATTGCATTGGTGCCTGTGACCAACCATTCATTCGCGTTGTTTCAAGTTCTGGGTGTTTGCTTTGCAAAGGGTACCCGAACCAGGGTTAGAAATAGTGTTCTATTCGGGGACAAAGGCTTAGAACATTGATATTGAAATAATGTAGCGGAATTGAACTATAATAAAAAAAACGAGAGAAATAATGTAACTTTCATTTTTCCATTTCCATGTCTAGAAAAATGTCTGTCAGCTGTTTTCACTGGCAAGGATATATAAATAAAACATTCCTAAAAAACACAAATGGTAAAGTCATAAATCATCTAATATACAGCCACTAATTATTTAATAAGTATGTTTGGTTATTAACTTTAAGTGTAACACAGAATCATAGATGTACAGCAGGTAATATTATAGTGCCAAAAATTTACATGATTTATCTGCTTTTCTGTACAACAACTAAAGCTCATTTATGAAATTAAAATATATTATTTGTAGAAATTGTTTTTTAATTGAAAAGCAAATACCTTTTCTTTGATGTACCTGAAACAATGTTTTTATTCTTTTTCCAGTTAAAAGCCCAAATACCTGTTTTGAAGAAGGCTTATCTGGACGAGCAAGGCACAAGTAACGATTATAAGGTATACATGATCTATAACTGATATTAGGCAAAACAATGTGTAAGTTTCAGGTAACCTGATGTATCCTATTTTTACCTCTGACCCTAACAATTTTTACTGGATGCAAACAAATTGATGAACAAACAAACAAGGCAACTTATTCATCATAGGCAGTTATAAAAACCAAATTTAATTCCAATAATTCAAAAGAAAAAATAATATGTTTAGTTAATTTTTTTTTTAGCTCTAAAAAGAGCCCCTCTCATAAAAAAGATATGTACTGTATGTAAATCCTGACCTACCTACCCTATAATTTCAGTCATGTTTTCTGAAGCATACATACTTTTTTTGGTCTTATGATTACTTGTTCATAATTAACTTGGATGCCAAGAATAGATGTCGACCTCAGACACTTCCACAGAGAAGGTACCAACTACATGTAGTCTTGTACTTCTGGCATATCTCCCAAAGTTATTTGAGATGGCATTTTGCAGCAGTTTTGATGCAATGGTAATGTGATGTTATTCCAGTCACAACATTGTTTCGTTTGCCATTATTAACTGCATAAAAAGAACAACACAGGTTAAACAATTTTAATAACATCTAAATACCACATTACCACACAGATTTAAACTAGTGGTGTCTCAATTAACTGATGTCTTTACTCTTATAAGTTATTTAAAGGCATGGAAGCAATCTCAAAGCCAGATCAGTCCATCAAGTTTTTCTGTAATTGATCATACATTTATTACTACTGTTGCTGCAAGTAGTTATAAATAGACATGGTCATGAATGATATCTACGAATGAATTACGGTAGTTAAAATAACATATAACTCAAAATTCCAATGAATTACAAATGTATAATGTAATGGGTTGGTTTTTTTACCGTTTCTAAATGCATCTTCAATATAGATAATTTTTTATTCACAGGATCAAATTAAAGAGAGGGATCAGGCACTACGAAAATATGAACAGGAAGTCGACAGTTTATCATTCAGAAACCAACAGCTTTCCAAACGCGTCCTTTTTCTCCAGGAAGAACTGGACACCGTAGAAGCAACAAAAAAGAAAAAGGTAAAACACACAGTGATGAACATTTTAATAGCTAAATATTTGGACAGCTTAAATACCTTCATATTGTCTGATGAATGTAAATTAAACTATCTTGGTGTTGTGAAATGAATTTCAATACCATGTGCTGTATAAATTCACCAACCTGTTAAACTTGTGGCACGCACGTACATGACGCATGTTTATACTGCTAAGGTCAAGGTCACAGCAAAAGGTTAAAGGTCAATCATTTTAATCTCCATATAACTTTTAAATATTACTTATTGAAACATGTTTTTGATATATTTACAAATACATCATGTATATCCTAGTCTACACCGAAAGGTCAAGGTCAAAGCATGAGTTAATGTGTCAAAATTATTAAATTAAAGCTTGTAAGGAATAGGAAATAGTTGTTTAGGTATACAATTTGCAATTTTGATGTTGTTAGATATTTGGGAGAGCAAGGGTAAGTAATGTGTGGTGCTATATAAAGATGATGAATTATTAACAAAGATAATATCTCAATTGCAATCAGTGATGCAGCACACTATTATATATAAATTAATGTAATTGTATCTAAAGAGTGCTAGTATGTAAATTTGGTTCAGTTTGAGTACTAATTATATCAAGAGTGTTGCAAATGAAAGTCCTTACATATTTAATTAGGAAGAAAATCAAATCTTAAAATAAAATAACTATCAAATGCAAAAATACAAACATTTCTGCTTATTAGTACAATAAATTTTAAATTTTGATTGTAACTGAATCCTGTATAATCCAGAAGCCTTAACTTATTTACCCCTGAAAACACATTTGATTTCCTCCAACCCAAGGGTTGGAATAGTTCATTATGAAATTAAAGGGGTGAATAAACCAGAACTTCAACATGATCCACTGTATAGTATACCTTTCTTTTGATAAAACGCAAATAATCCGAAAAAAAAGTACATACCGGTACTCGTTTTTTTGTGTTTTTTTGTGTAATGATGCTGTTCTGTTTAGACAGGTTTCACTGTATAAAGGTTATTAATATGTATTTTAAATTTGTACCTGACATATTTTAGTGATGGTTTGCTAGCTAGCTGTAGGCTTTTAGAAAGAATATATGATTTTTTTTTTAATAGCTTGCGATTGTATAATCTATGGGTTGTGCCAGGTACTCTTTCTGCAACAAGCACTCCTTGCTGGGAGAGTAGTCATTTAACCTTCTGTAATCATTTTTTTTTCAATTTGTGTTTTAATTAATGTATTATTAGGCTAGACCAATCATTTTAATGACTTAAACAAAATTGTCTCTTTGAATGTATTTATTTAAAATTGATAACTGGAATTTTAGTAGTATACAGTTAGGCCCTGTTTGTTTATGCGGAACGACCGGTTTGTCTGTTGTAAGTATTGTAACAGATTTCTTGTATAAATCCTGGTGGACCTGCAATTGTTTATGCAGGCCTTGCAAGGCTTTATCAAGGCTCGCCTGAAAGCAGCATCAGGTTACTGGGTCCGACCTTACTTCATTAACGAACAATTCTGGTCCAAACGGTTCAACAGTTTGGATCGAGATAAATGAAAGCGACTTAGCTATAGGCTAATGCTTGCATTTAATGCACTGAAGCACTGAGAGTAGTTCTTTATTCTTTCTTTTTCTTAAAAAAAATAAAATAAGGTTGTGTAATTACTTGCTACCTTAGCCTGTATTGGGTTTAACCTCATTGATTTAGTATACATAGTTTATAATTAGTTATTTCCATCATAATGTCACTCCAAAAAATTGGACTGTCATAATTTCTTATAAATTTGCCTGCCTCTAAACAATGAATTCTTATAATTATCAACAAATTGAAGGTCAAAGGTAAAATTCCGAAGAAAATTTGGATCAATTTGTTCAATCACCTGATGAAATATTGAATATATATAATATGTTTATTATATTGACAAAAGTGATTGAAAGTCAAAGGTTATATGTCAAAAGGTCACTTGATTACAGTATAAGAATTACTTTTTCTACTAATATTGAGGGATACATAACATTCACAATTTTTCTTTTACTAGTTTTTTTGTGTTTTTTTGTACTTAAATCAAAATATGTGAAAATGTTATTTCTATGCTCCCGCCTTTTTGTAGGGACACATGGACATACCCATATCCTTCCTGTCCAGTCGCGATTCACTAATCATAACTATACCGACTTCATTTCTAAACAGATTATCCTTTAAGTTTTTACAAAGTATGGGAATATCTCTGATCAGTTGATAGTTTGGTATTTCAGAGTCCAAAGGTCATCATCATTGTCACGTTTTCTATTCAAGGTCAAACACAGGGCCAAGGGGACATTCATGTCTTACAGACATTTGCTAGTTCTGAAATAAATGCTAATTGATTTTATTATGACCATGTCCTCGGAATAAAATTAATCGTGTCCATCATCTGTCTGTTAAAGGAAGTGATAACTTTTACTGTTTCCTGTCGCGACTGTGATATAATAATTCTTCCTGGTTTTTCTTACGACATTTCCCACGGTGACATAACATATCCTCCAATGCTGAGTAAAACCCACCTCTTTAAAACTTACAAGTGATGGTCACATCAGTGTCTGACACGGAGATACAGTTATCGATACTTTCAGTGCTAAATAATTGACTCATTTCTAAGTGACTACAGTGTAACTTCCTCAGAGCTTACATTGTGTGAAGGTTATATTTATATACAGCAAAGATATGATCAGAATAAGGATAAAATACAGTTCTACACATACTTATAATCTTTCATTGGGGATTTAACAGCTTTGTACATGTATTATTAAATTGATACTGTATACTGTCAAATTTTCAATGCAGTTTAACGTTTGCCTTGTTTGCCCTACATGATGAGGGCGAATCTGTTTCATTGATTTCATGGGTAATTTTCATCCACAAATTTATAGGTCCACAATGTAATCACATGTTTGCTGTGAAATCACTAATTTTCATGGCGTTTTTTAATTTCGTTGATTTCGTGGGTAAACGTCATCCACAAGTTCATAGGGCCACCAAGTAATTACAAGATTGATATAAAGCACTTGTCCGTTTAAGTGGTTACTCGTAATCCTTGAATACATGTACCCACTAAATGGTGTTTTGTCAGGAAATCATGAAATTTGGACCAAACTATCTTATTTCACAGTATAGTAATGTATATCCCCCTTACCAGCTTAACCAATAGTGGAGGAAAAATGAGGGTGAATTGTGCTTTAAAATAATAAAAAACAAATGCAAGAAAAATACATGTAATAGACGAGTTTCCCACAAGAGTTTAGCATAGATTAATTTGTAGAAATACACTGTAATAGTAATCATTGCACAAGTTTGCTCTGTAACTGAAATGATGTTATTATTCATCACATTAATTAAGTTGTATGTACATGTGACATAATGGATCTGTTAAGATTGTGAACAGCACTTTCGATATCAATTTCATCATAATATTGGAAATCCACAAAATTGGCTCATTAATTACGTAGACAAGATATCAGTTACAATTTTTTGTTGATTTTCAGAGTTTGAAGTCCAGAAATTTGGATACAACTGTCTGTGAATTTACTTGTGACGTCGGAAATAGAGTCTTGTGTGTACTCTTAATGTGACATCACAAATAATTGCCTGAAGAGCCCTAGATTGGTGAAAGTACTAGTGAGCTTTAGTCTTCAGTGATTTGTTTTATTTGTATTTCTACGATCACATGGACGTTAAAACCATTTTTAGCTTGCGGTGTCCGTTGTCCGTCTGTCAACTTTTTCTTTTGAACGACTTCTTCTGAAGAACTGTAGGACCTAGGGTCATGATATTTGGCCAGTAGGTACCTGGGTTGGAGTGCTATAAACTTTCCTCATTAAAATGACCTTGACCTACTTTCAAGGTCACAGCGGTCAAATATGTGAAAAATTTCAAACAACAATATCCAACAGTATGTTATGTAGACCATATATTTTTCTCAATTGCAGTAATGATGTCAAAGGTCAACTTTAAGTGCTAGTTGGGGGTCAAATGTCAACTTTGGTTAAAAGCTTTAACAATCTTCTTCTCAAGTTCCATAGGGCCCAGGGTCATGATATTTGGCCAGTAGGTACCTGGGATAGAGTGCTATAAAGTTTCCTCATGAAAATGACCTTGACCTACTTTCAAGGTCACAGCGGTCAAATATGTGAAAAATTTCAAACAACAATATCCAACAGTATGTTATGTAGACCATATATTTTTCTTNAGGATAGAGTGCTATAAAGTTTCTTCATTAAAATGACCTTGACCTACTTTCAAGGTCACAACGGTCAAATATGTAAAAAAAACTTCAAACAACAATATCCTAAGAACCATTTGGACTTAAGAGTCATGATACTTGGGTATGTTATGTAGACCAGCAGTGCAAATCTTTTTCTCAATTACAGTAGTGAGGTCAAAGGTCAACTTTAAGTGCAAGTCAGTGTCAAAGGTCAACATGGGTCAAAGGCTTTAACAATCTTCTTTTCAAATTCCATAAGGCTCAGGGTCATGATATTTGGCCAGTAGGTACATGGGATGAAGTGCTATAAAGTTTCCTTATTAGAATGACCTTGACCTACTTTCAAGGTCACAGGGGTCAAATATGTTAAAAACTTCAAACAACAATATCCTAAGAACCATTTGGACTAGAGTCATGATACTTCGGTATGTTATGAAGACCAGCTGTGTGAATTGTTTTCTTTATTACAGTAATGAGGTCAAAGGTCAACTTTAAGTGCAAGTCGAGAGTCAAAGATCAATATGGGTTAAAAGCTTTAAAATCAAAATTTCAACAACAATATCTTCAGAACCTTTTAAAAGATGTTAAAATGTCTTGTGTTCTAGTTACTAAATTTGGTCTTATTAGTTACCTATATGTCAGTTGCATGTAACAAAAGAAACAGGTGAGCGATACAGGACCTCTGGGCCTCTTGTTATTGAATATATACATGTGTAAGATGCTTTTAATGCTTTTGTTACAAGATCTCAACTTTGTTGAGTTTTTCATTACAGAACAGAAATGCAGAGCCATCAACAGCTGCCCCAATGCCTGAATCACCGGGGGTGTACAGCGAAGAACTCTTCAGCAAGATCCAGGAGAACGAGCGGTTACACAAACAGGTAACTATGTTAACTCTTTCAGGAGTTAACAGAATTTAGCTTTTAAGAGGGATTGCATGAATCAATGTTTAGGAAAACAAAATTAAAACAATAAGAAAGAAAAACAATTACCACTACTATATTGTGGTACGTAGTGCTCATGGAATGCTGTATCCTGATGATAAGTTAAGATTTAGCATTGTTAGTTATTAATTAAGAAATCATTGTTTGGTACAGGTGAAGATGTTAATTTCACAGGGACCTGAGAATTTGTTACAGCTATATTTGGACCTAAACTAAGGTGTTCAGAATAATTTTACATGTTTTAGGGATTTAGATTGATTTTCAGTAATAATGACACCTCCAATGATCATATATACGAGAAGGGAGGAAAGCTCTCGATGTCGAAATGTCGACCCCACCTAACTTTCTTGCATCAAAAACAACTTTTCTAGTTGATCTACAGGAAAATGCTTAGTACCTTTGGAAAGATAGATTAATTTTCTTTTACAAACCTCATATGCGCACGTAAAAATGTATTCCTTCTGCGGACATAAACTCTTGTTTCCTCCAAAAACACATGCCATTTAAGAGTTTCAAAGTTTTTCGCAGTCAGCCTGCCACTTTTTTGAATATTAATGAGGTTAAGGTCAGCGCGTGCTGAAACATGCAGTGTTAGTTGGTTAAGCGAAAAAATGGCTTTGCTACCAGCCAATCACACAGCAGGTCTCGGCACACGCTGACCTAAACCCCATAAATATTTGAAAAAGTGGCAGGCTGACTGCTAAGTTTAGGTCCAAATATAGCTGTAACAAATTCCCAGGTCACTGTGGTTAATTTAACCTGTGTACAACTGTGTAATGTACAGGTAGATGTTAAATTTACCTGTGCTATGTACTAGTGTTATATTTTCTCTTTGTAATATACAGGTAGATATAAGTTTAACCTGTGTTACGTACAGGTAAATGTTAGTTTAACCTGTGTTATGTACAGGTAGATGTAACTGTGTTTAATAAGTACAGCTGTTGTATTTTACCTGTATAATGTACAGATGTATGTTAAATTATCCTGTGTTTTGTACAGGTAGATGTTAAATTTACCTGTGTTATGTACAGAAAGATGTTAAATTTACCTGTGCTATGTACATGTACAAGTGTTGTATTTTACCTTTGTATATTGTACAGGTAGATGACAGTTATCGTCAGTACCAGGCTCGGATACAGGAGCTGGAAACCAGGCTAGAGTTCTATGAGAAAGAATGCAACCAGCATCAGCAGGTGCTCCAGTCCACACTACAGAAGAGCAAGGACCAGATAGACAAATTGCAACAAGAAAAGGCCATGGTAGAGGTGAGTACTGATAGAGAGAAGGGGTCCATTGGGAGAGAAATACAGGCCAGTAGGAAACTGAGTACAGATAGGGAGAAAAGGGATGGGAAATACTGGGAAGTAGGAAACTTAGTGTGGAAAGAGAGAAAGGGCCCTTAGGGAGAAATACAGGCTAGTAGGAGACTGAGTATGGATAAAGAAAAGGTGAGAGAAATACAGGCTAGTAGAAAACTGAGTACAGATAGAGAAAAGGTGAGGGAAATACAGGCTAGTAGGAGACTGAGTATGGATGGAGAGAAGAGGTCAGTAGGGAGGGAAGGACAAACTATTAAGAAACAGAATATGGTTAGAGAAAGAGGATGCATAATGTGAAAGATACTTGCTAGTTGGAAATACATTGATGAAGCTGGAGGGAGAAAATTAAATTAAGGAGAAAAAGATAATTAATTTTGGAACAAATTGCTACAATATTGAGGGAAGGAAATGAGAGGTTATATTAGGGGGAGAGAGACCGACAATGACCATATTAGGAAATAGAAGAGCATTAGGTTGAACTATATAAAATGGAAAGATAGATGAGACCAAGGGAGACAACTCTGTAAGTGATATTATGTTTTATTGAATGTAAAACTACTACAATGCACTAATCCATAACTTTTCTGTTATGATAGCATAGGCATACAAAATATCATTATTCAACATTTATATACATTTTTGTTGTTTCAGGTTAAACTGCAAAAATTGGAATCTGATGTGAAAAGTTACCGATCCAGAGCTGAATTATCGTAAGTCTGAATTATCGTAGAATTATCGTAAATCTGAATTATCGTAGAATTATCGTAAATCTGAATTATCGTAAGTCTGAATTATCGAAGAATTATCGTAAATCTGAAACAAACTTTATCTTTGTGAAAACCAGAGGCAATGAAGTCTTACTTGATGTATATTTTCTGCAAGTCTGTCTTCGTAAAAACCTGAGTGAAAGATTCAGCTCTACCTAGCTGTACAAATGGACACCAAGGCTGCATTGTTTAAAGCTGGATGGGCTTATTTACAAGATAATCAAATTATTTCATAGAGTACATGTATATGTTATCAAAACTTAAAATTCAAAAGGGAATTATGTGCGTTGGGATTCAAAATCTTCAACTGAAGACAAGAAACACAGAAAAATAATTGTAAATTTTCAGATATTTGTCAAAAGTCATATTTTCAACAACTGAGCCAGACCGCTGTCTGTCCTTGATGAACACATTGATTCTAAATCACTTCACAAATCTGAAACAGGCGAATTACTATCCTCTGATGAATGTTTGGCCCACAAGCTAATTTGTAATTAAAATATTTGACTATTTTTTTCTTTGATTACAGTGAAGAAAAACTGGACGGTGTTCAGTCCCGTCTTCAAGGTGATCTACAACAGGCTAGAAAAATAATTGCTGACAAACTACCCTTCATAGATACAAGTGAGAAATTTAATTACAACTTGTCAAAAATAAATAGAAACTCCACCTTAAAAAGATTTTTTTAATGCAATAATGTAAAATTTAACTATGATTTAAAAGTACTTACAAGCTTTTTGTTTTGTTTGTTATTAATTTAAAATTGATACATATTGATAAGACTAAAAGGAAACAAAATGGGGTTGAAATATTTTTAAGCAGTTTTAATTGAAATATTGATACATATTTGTAGACGTACGAAATAAAAAAATTAAATAAAAATGAAAGATCCATCAGTACTTGTACTGTGATTCAAACATTGAAACATATGTACTGGTCATAGAACACATAGTTTGCTTTTTGTTTTTGATTGTATTTTTTTCTTAAATTGGTACACGTTTGAAGAGCACAGAGACTCCAACGGTTTTTTTTGTAGATCCTGCAGTAACTATAAATACTACGTACATATTTCTATATCTTTCACTACCTGAGAATAAAATATTGATACGTGTTTGCAGAGCACCGAGACTTAAATTGCCTGAACCTGCCTACCCATGATAGGAAGCACCAACTACGAGCACGAGAACTGGTGAACCAATCAGTGAACCACCTGTCAGAACTGGTTCAGGCTCTGTCCAACTTCTACACCTACTCAGAACAGAGGTCCAAAATATACCCCATTGATGGACTTAGTGAACCTTTAAGTTCCATCAATCTACTGGTAAGTATATTTACAAAGGTAGCTACCTTACACATCATACCTGTGTGTAAGAGTCATCTCCCCTGAAACAAATGTTTATGCCCCACCATAAAATGGGGGGGGGGGGGGGGGGCATATAGTGTTGTCCCATCCCGTCCCATCCCATCCCATCCATGAGCGGGGGCATTTATGTCTTACAGATATTTTCTATTTTTTTCATCATCATTCAGGTCCATCCATCCACCCTCAATTACTAGAGCCTCCATCTAGATTTTCGAGGGTACCGGGTACAAACTCGGGTCTGGCCGTGCATTTTTTCATCTCCTGTTACAATATAATAGAAAGTTCCAGATGTTTTTTAGGGCATAGCATTTCTAGGCCATACATGTTAATGGCAAAACTTGAAGGGGATTCAAATGAGCCTTTAGGATAAATATGTAAGTGTTAAGGTGATGACCTTGTTTATTATAGGTGAATTGACTGTCTTGGAACTCTTTTGTACAGGAGGTGCTTGTCATATTATGGTTGCTGCATATGCCTTAAAGGATTGTATCCAGGGTTTTCTAAAGGATTCAGACATAATTAAACACCCATATGCATTCCATGACATTTTGTATCTTGGGGATGATCTCAAAAACGATAATTCATTACTGTGTGAATTAGACTAATAAGTAGTGTTCTTTACAATTGATGTATGTAATTCAATTTCAATGGATGAATATACACAAAAGTATGTGCAAATTTAAACTGTTGGTTTTATTAAATAACAGTACATGGAGTTTTGTCCTTACATTGCAGTATTGTAAATACCTTCACGAGAATGTGAGCTACCTGCGCCCCTGTGAGCAAGCTCTGCGTTCTTTCCTCGGTACTTTTAATGAGGATTCTTTAACAACTCTTGTAAGTAAAATATGATACAGTAAGATTTATGATTCAGTAAAAATTCTTGCTGAATTATGTTTACAACAATGTCTGTTTGTGTTCCCAGGTAAGTGTAATAGTGATGTATTTCTTGCATAAATATGACAAGACCACATGTTATGTTGGTAATATTGATCCCATAAGGACGTGTGGTTTACAGTCTGAGTAAGGCACAAAGCATTGTCCAGTACAAGTGTGGATATCTACGGAGCACCTTTGCATGACGCACATACTCGGTACGTCTTCAGGTACATACAATCTAATGATGTAAATCTGTCAGGTCCATCCAGTCAATGGAAAAGTATGTCTGACGCTGACAAATACAAGACCATCGACCTAATTGCCCAATGAAAAAAAATTTGAATTAACAGAAACTATATAACACCACCATGAATGACCACTCGGACACTACAATTGCAGGGTAAGGTACAAACGAAATGAACATGCACAAAACGTTAACATTGCTTCGGACGTGTTATAAAATATGTTGGACAATCACGCTATATAAAAAATATGTATTTTATCAAAAATCATTACAAACCAACTAAAATGTATCCCTGCTACATAAGGAATAAAACAGGTGACTACTAGGTGGCTTTGACACCATCTCCTGTAATAATTATGCAAACAGAAGAATTTAGACAACAAATATTACTAGAATCAGATATGTTATCTCTAAATTTCAAGTACTATAATGTTATAAAACTGCAAGAAATACTCATTAATCTTGAGAGCTATTTTTTTCAGGAAACTGCTACAGATTTACTGGTGTTTTCAAAGAATTTTAGATGTCTCGTGGCTTACATGAACAAACTTTTGCCTTATCAGCTGGCTAGGTATGTACACACTATTAGTACAGTAGAGAATTACATTATATGTTGTACACGAGAAAAACCTTCACGCTTTAAAATGTTCTTCTGTCTCAGATAAAATCCTTATTTGTCCAGTGTTCATTTTGTCACTCAAAGAAAAGATACTTTATATGTATAATCTGATTTGTACCAATACTCACTTGTGATGATGAATCCAACTTGATGATGGAAGTTAGAAATTTAACTTTTGCAAGTATTTCCCTATTCCTGTAAATTTCTTAAATTCGACAAACCCTCATCTCAAGCCGAAGAGGATCAGTTGCTAGTAAAAAAGGAACTATATACCCTGTAGCTAGATGGTTAGGCAGTCGGAATAATCAGTGCTTCGATGACTTTGTTTACTGTGAATCTACTTTTAACACTGCTACTTTTACAGTATAGAGGAGGAATGCGCCGTCTCGTCCTGCACCTCGACGTTGGAAAATAAAAACATGGATCTCCATCGTTCCCTCAAACATCTCACCTCCGTGTTCAACAAACTCGACACGTACATCGCTCTACTAGCCACCCAAAGTAAGTGTCGACACACTTATATATAATTATATCACTTATCCATTGGAAAAAAAATTGGGGGGGAAGGGGGGGTGGGGGGTTTATAGGAATCACCGTGTCCATCTGTCTGTCTGTCTGTCTGTCTTTCCATGATCTTTGTAAGCGCAATTCTTCCTAAATCGTGTGTTGGATTTTTTTGTAACTTTACACAGTGAAGTACATTGTAGTTATGTAGATGCGCATGAAGAAAGGAATTGGCATTTTAACTATTTTCCCTGGGGAGCAAGTGAACTATTATATCACCAAGATTATACATGATTTTATAGACCATTATTAATATTTTTATCACACACTTAGGCTAGTGATGTGTTATTTCATGACAAGTGGTGGTATTTTCTTTTATTTCTTTGTCAAAATATTAACAAATTTGAAACATAATATGCTTTAGTTGGTGAGTGTATGATGAATGAATTTCAGAATTGTACTCATTCCGTTTTCCTTTCAATGAACTCATTGAAGCTTATTTCGTTATATCGTACTGAATGAAAATTCATTTAAAATTTTCTTTATCATAAACTTTATTTATTGTACAACAATTATGAAACAAGTTTTTACAACTTATACTTATCACTCTTGTTGGCCCGGATGTTAGCGCACTGGGGGTATTACTGTGGGAGGAAATCAAAGTACCCAGAGAAAACCCATGTGGCAGGTGACCCAATACGTTTTCACGTCCGATCGGGGAATTGAACCCTGGTCGCCTTGGTGAAAGGCAAGTGTGCTATACACAGTGCCACCTGACCATCCTAAAATATTTCTTTAAATATTGTTTTAAGTCATTTTACCTTTTAGAGAATATTTATGAAAAATAATATTTAACCTGTTTAATTCCATGTTTGCAAAACTATATTCTGCTCTTGTGTGTTGGTACAGGTCAGAATCACTGCCATTACCCACATCAAAACCACTTCTCATTCTTTGTGTGTTTGTCAAAAGTTCTACAGGATTTAGATACATCAGTCAGAGGTAATGTACACCAAAAGTTTCCTCCGCTGAAGGAGCTTCTTTTGTGTTGATAGTGTTATCTTACCAAAAAAAAAAAAAAAAAAATCTTTTCTCAACCAAACAGAGATAACATTTTCTGAGAGTTATCTCCCTTACCTTTTGCTTACTTTAACCTGAATAACATATAGTTGTTTATTTTTCTCTTTAATAATAATAATGATACTTTTGCTAAAAGTTATTGCACTATTGGCAGAAAAGTTGCTGCTTAATATATTTCAGCAAATTTAGAGCAGTATATTTCTTATACCAGGTGAAAAATACATAAGCCAACTGTTCAATTCAAGTCCAATTAAATACATTTTTTTTTTTACAACAATTATGAAACAAGTTCATTTTAACTGATATTAATCACTCTTCTTTTCCCGTAAATTAGTGGATGTTAGTCCAATTACTGTTATTACCAGTATCTAGTGATATTTATTATTGTACAATAGAATAAAAAACAAGATATGATTTCTGATTGAAATTGTTCAGATTTAAATATTCCTATAAATTCACAAATTTTTAGATGTTGTGTTACAATAATCTTTTCTTTGTTGGTTTTAATTTTAGATGTGTCAAAACATTACAATTCTAAAGTATCTTTGGAACATCAGCTACCCACGGCAACACAAAAGCTTAAGACAACAGACGAATGTATCGTATCATCACTGATCTCCATGGTTACCTGTACAGGAAAGGTGAGGACCGTGAACCAACTTAGTACATTGCTGGATATTGGTATAAATATCAAACTTTCTTCAGGATAATATGTAGAAAAATGTATGCTACCATTCTCTGACTTATAGAGACTTAAGGATGTATGCTACCTTACTGTGACATGGAGAATTAAAGATGCATGCTACCTTTCTGTGACTTGGGGACTTAAGTCTCCATGTCACCTTAGTGTGATGTATAGACTTAAGGATGTATGCTACCTTTCTGTGACTTGGGGACTTAAGGATGTATGCTGCCTTACTGTGATGTAGAGACTTAAGAACGTATGCTAATTTGCTGTGACATAGAGACTTAAGAATGTATGCTACTTTACTGTGACATAGAGACTTAAGGGTGTATGCCAACTTTCTGTTGCTCAAAGATTTATAGATGTATATACTTCTAAACTGCAACACAGAGATTTAAGGCTGTAAGCTACCTTTCAGTAACATGGACACTTAAGGATGTATGTTACCATACTGTGACATGGAGACTTAAGGCTGTATGTTACCTTACTGTGACATCAAATTATCTTAATGTTCATATGAAAAAGAAATGTATGCTACTTTTCTGTATATTGTATATCCTTATCAAAAGAATTTGAACTAGGAGACCTGACAATAGTATAAACGACTTGGGTTAAAATATCTTCCCCATGATCAAGATAGGAGGTGATACTGTAATCATAACCATCCATCTGTCTGTCTGTCCCACTTGCATTTCCCAACAAAAATTTGAGTTCCTGATTCCTAATTCCTAATTCTACCAAAAAATCTTACCTTGCATTCTCACTAAAACGGTTTGCTTGAGATTGCTTTTCTGGTCCGAAGGTCAATGGTCAAGGTCATTGGTACTATAAATAGAAAACTTGATATCTTCTTAACAGTTTCAAGCACTTTGGCTAATAATACTCAAACTTCATACACACCTTCCTTACAGAAACTGCTTTCAGGTCAGAAGGTCAGTCGTCAATGTCACTATTACTATAAATATAAAATTGACTCTTCCCTCGATTTGAATTCATATTACTTATTTGAAATATTTTTTTCCTCAGGTTTCAGCATTCTTTGCCGGTAACCTCGACTTCTTTAAGGAAAACCCGGGTTACAGAACCCGTGGAAGCAGTATAGGGACAGACACCAGTATGGAGGGACCACGCTCCAGCCCAGCTACCGTCTGCTTCAGACAGAAGGCAGCAACCTACCTGTCACACCTGTCTGCGGTGAGCTAATTAACTCTTTCACCCCTAAAGACACATTTAAACTCCTTCAATTCAAAATTTGGAATAGTGCATTATTAAATTTCAGGCGTGAATGAGTTAAAGGAGTATTGTATGCTTGTGATAAACGTAAAAAAGTGGTTCTAAACTTTCGAAATGTGTCCATTTGGGGTAAAGTTCTTACTGTGTCAGCACTGCCCAGAAACTGTACAACATGGCCTTAAATGTCTACCTTTTTTTTTCTGTGTGAGCTCTACCATCAATTTTCTTTGTCATTCCTGCCCAGAAACTTGCTAATATCATTTTTATTTTTCAGCTCTGACCCTAGACTTATTCCCATAGAGTTAAATAAATGATTACAAGCACTTTTCTGTGTTAGCCCTGACCAAGGAGCGGTTTCCCATAGCATTAAATGTTTTTCATCAATATTGTGTGTCAGCCCTGCCCATAGACTGTTTGAGTGTTTCCCATAGATCTAGAGTTAAGTAAATGTTTACAATTATTTTTCTGTGTGAGCTCTGCCCAGAAACTGTTCCACATAAAATGTGTAAGCTCTGTCTTAAGAGCTATTTCCCATAGCTTTGAATGTTTACTGTGAATTTTCTGTGTCAGCCCTGCCCCGAGACTGTTCCCCATAGAGTGGCTGTTCAGAACCGGAAGGTATTGCTCAGCTCAACAGAGAGTCGTGAGGGATTGTCCAAACAGGTGAGTACAATTACAGGTCTAACAGTATACAATCTCTTCCTGTCTTAATTAAAATGTAAACTTTATTTATGTTACAACTATTATTTTACAAGTTTTACTAATCGCTCTTGTTGCAACTGGCCCAGATGATGGCACGCAGGGGGGGTCTTAATGTGGTAGGAAACATGCTTAGTTACCCGGAGAAAACCTGCGTGGTTGGGCAGGTAACCCAATTCCTTTTCACGCCCCATCGGGGAATTGATCCCCGACCGCCTTGGTGAAAGGCAACTGTGTTATCCACTGCCCCACACGTCTTAACTCAAGTGTCGTTAGCAGATGTTTAGTCAGTAAATGCAAAACACCAATATTTTTCTTTCAACTGAACATGAAAATTATGTCCCTATATTGTTGTCAGGTGCATAATAAAACCAAGATCTTAAACTCCCTTCCCTGTAGCCCTGGATGGTTGGAGGAGGATTGGACTGTAATATGTGACACATCCTGTAACAGATAGGTGGATGAAAGCCATAAATGACAGCCTACACGCACTATGACGTCACTCCGACAGTGATTAACTCACGATTGGAATTATTGCCGCCAAATGTCGGCGTTTAAAATAGTTCCGTTGTTTTGACTGCTAAATTGTATGTCTGGTCATACCAGATCTGTGCTGTCAACAGGCCAGACCTGAGTCAGTAAGCTATATTGTTACACATTAATCTGGTTACAGCTTAAGAAAGCCCAGACAAGAGTCAGTAAGGTATATTATTACGCATCTGCCTGGTTTACAGCTTACGAAAGCCCAGACCTGAGTCAGTAAGGTATATTATTACGCATTTATCTGGTTACAGCTTACGACAGCCCAGACACGAGTCAACAAACTGGAACAGGAAAAGGAACACTGGATGTTAGAGCTACAACTACTGCAGATAAAACACGACAAGGAAACGGAGGTCAGTGACGTCGATAAACACGTTTAGGCTTCACATGGTGGGATTCTTAATATTGACGACAGTGTAACAGACTTTTACCTGTTGCTCAATTCCATTTGATATCATATTTATCAATACAATATTTATTAAGTTAAGAGATACCATTTAACTACACCATCTTCAAGTAGACTTGTAGTGTTTATATCGGTGGCAGCTCTCGGTAAAAGTATTGCCTGTCATTTTCAAATTTTTCATGTATGCTTGTACGTGAGATAAAATAAAAAATAAAAAAAGATTTTCTAATGGAAAAATTGGACATCTTTTCTTAAAATTTGTTTTTAGATATAAAAGTTTTATCACTTGTTTCAGAAAGTGCAGAAGCTTGAGAAAGACCTAGCCGGCAGGCTTGCCTCTGGAGCCCACAGAGACTCCATTGAAGACAATATCACTAAAGAGCCGTCATCCAGGACCTGGTCACTAGATGCCGTCGTACCTCTGAATCCCGAAGCTAAGGCTGCCATGGTAACAGTCTATTCTACTTTGGCAGATTTTAATTGTACATAGGATTACAGTTGCCTTCTAGCTTCGAGCTAGGGGAAATTTTCCTTTAGCTCAGTGGTAGAGCGCCCAACTATAGGAACCTGGAGATCGAGGGTTCGATCCCCGGTGGTAGCACACTATTTTCAATTTTGTTAAACTACTATAACTTTAAAGTGTGTACTCTTAGATTTAACAAGAGACCATTCACTGTGTAAAAGATACAGTATAAGTTTTAAATTCTGACCGGTATTAATATTTTTGGTTGGGTGTGTTGTATAAGATAACTGTAAAAGTGACCTTTGTAATATTGAATTCAGGAATTCTTCGAAAATAGTGCTTTGAGTAAATCATATTTTTTTTTTTTTAAATTCAGTTTCTTTTCTTTTGAAAAGATAGGACTGGTCCATGAAATATGTATCAAAATTTAGATTTAGCCAAAACCCCCAAAATATTATATATGTCAGACCAAAGACACGTTTTTCAAGTACATGTAATTTCTTAGTTCTTAAGTGTGTGTTTTTTAAAGCAATTCATTCAATTTTGGAAGCTTATAAATGAAACGAATAACATGTATTCAGCTTTGATTTTTTTTTTTTTTTAAATGTACTAATTCTAATTCTCGAAAATATTTCAGGCAGAAAGCCATACTTTATCACATCTTGTCATTTAGGTAGAGTTTCTGTTTGGCCAGAAACAGATTTCAGTGTTTGTATTTTTCAGTTTGGTAAGTTAGACATGGCGTCTACTAGCTCCAGTGATGCAGAGACAAGGGAGGTCCTGATCAAAAATCACTTCACCAACAGAATTAATGAGCAAGCACTACAACTACAGCTGGTGGAGAGTAAAGCAGTCAACTTTCACTCAGAGGTAAGGTCAGGGGCCCAGGTCAATGGTGTCAGGATCAATTCATGTGACAGGTCAAAGCTTAAGGTTCAAATTCTATTGATTAGGGTCAGAAGTTCCTGGATACGGTCTTGTGACAAGGTTCAAGGTGCCAGGATCAAGTCATGTGACAGGTCAAAGGTTAGGTGATATGTGATGGGTCAGGAGGTTTTGGATCTGGTCTTGTGACAAGGTCAAAGGTGCCAGGATCAGGTCATGTGACAGGTCAGAGGTTAGGTTATATGAGTCAGGGTCAAAAGTTTCTGGATCCGGTCTTGTGACAAGGTCAAAGGTGCCAGGATCAGGTCATAGGTCATAAAAGTGTCAAAGGTAGTAATAAGTCAAGGTCTCAGAAAGTAGGATAGAGTTCAAATGTTGATCAAAGATCAGGTCGTGGATCAAGATCAACTATTTATTGATTAGGTTATGGGTCAAGGTCAGTCATGCAAGGCCTATGATCAGAGGACAGGCAGGAGTTTACAATGTATTGCATGTTCAACAGTCCAAAACCCTACATCTGCCTTCATAGTGTCTCACACATTGTTTTGTTGCTACAAGCTTCGGATATTTTTATCAAAATCTTGTTTGTTGTAGGTGCGAGCATTACACAAACAATTACAGATCGCGGAGAAATCCAAAACTCGGTGTGAAGAGGAGCTTAAAGATTCTTCACAATTCCTTGCCCAACTGAAGGTATGCTGTCCTGGGTTGACATATCTGTTTCCGACTGAGAATGCTATCCATTTTGGTGTTAAGCTCTCTGATTGAAATTTAACTTATGATGATCAAATTTATGCAAACAAATTAGATGTTGAGGTTTAAAGTTAAATCAGACTTTTGTTTGACATTATTATATTCAGGATGAACTGCAGACAACAACAAAAAGTTACGAGGGTCAACTAAGTATGATGAGCGAACACTTGGCCAGCATGAACGAGAAGCTTGCCGAGCAGAAAGATGAAATAGATGAACTAAAGGCACAAAAAGTACCACAGCCAAAGGTCAGTGTTTTTACTTGAAACTCTTGCAGTGGCCGTCTATTTTAGAGAAATTTCTCCAAAATTTGCATTGGGTTTCCTTATTCTCAAATCATGTCATAAGGTACTTTGTGCAGTGATGTCATGACATTTTGTGTAGTAATGTCATAACATTTTGTGTAGTGACGTCATAACATTTTGTGAAGTGATGTCATAACATTTTTTGTAGTGATGTCATGATATTTTTTTAAGTTATGTCATAACATTTTGTGTAGTGATATCATAACATTTTGTGAAGTGATGTCATATCATTTTGTGTAGTAATGTCATAACATTTTGTGTAGTGATGGCATAACATTTTGTGAAGTGATGTCATGACATTTTGTGAAGTGATGTCATGACATTTTATGTAGTAATGTCATAACATTTTGTGTAGTGATGTTATGACATTTTGTGTAGTGATGTCATAACGTTTTGTGTAGTGATGTCATGACATTTTGTGTAGTAATGTCATAACATTTTGTGTAGTGATGGCATAACATTTTGTGAAGTGATGTCATGACATTTTGTGAAGTGATGTCATGACATTTTGTGTAGTAATGTCATAACATTTTGTGTAGTGACGTCATAACATTTTGTGAAGTGATGTTATGACATTTTGTGAAGTGATGTCATGACATTTTGTGAAGTGATGTCATGACATTTTGTGAAGTGATGTCATGACATTTTATGTAGTAATGTCATAACATTTTGTGTAGTGATATCATAACATTTTGTGAAGTGATGTCATGACATTTTATGTAGTAATGTCATAACATTTTGTGTAGTGATGTGATAACATTTTGTGTAGTGATGTCATAACATTTTGTGAAGTGATGTCATAACATTTTGTGATGTCATGACATTTTGTGTAGTGATGTCATAACATTTGATGTCAAAACATTTTGTGTGATGATGTCATTACATTTTGTGTGGTGATGTCATAACATTTTTTGAAGTGATGTCAAATTATCTTCAATAATATTCATCAGTTTGGAAATATGTGATATCAAAGTTTTACTTTCTACACAAACAATGTATGTATTAAATGTGTCACAATGTTTTAGGACTGACTGGTCCCTTTGTCAAGCTATGACTGAGTGAGCAATTTGTATTTTATACCCGCACAACGATGTGACTATATTGTATATTTTTCATGTCACTCGACCTGAGACATTTCGCCTATCGATAGGGAGTGTATACACACTGCATCAGATAGGTAACAGGTAGGGAGTCGATCTATTCTATCCTGTTATGTCAGTATCGGGTCATACAGATGACTCAGTTGGTGTCCCCCCTCATCTCTGTTCATGTTCTGAGTTTTTCTGATTTTGATTGCTTCTTTGATTCGTCTTGATTTGTTGTGTTGTTCCTTTCAACTATGCTAGCATTGTCCAAATAAACGATGTGATTTTGGGTGTTAGCGTGATCTGTTAATGCCGATTTATTGTACTGGTTGGCAGATCTTTCGCGTGTACATCTGGTGAATGTGATGTTGCCCATTTTCTCAATGTCCTTTTGATGTTCCTTCAGAAATGTAAAAAAAATCCTTCCAATTCCACCCATATATGACTGCTGACAATTTTTGCATAAAATTTGATACACAATTCCAGTTCTGTCTAAAATGTCAGTCTTGTCTTTAGGGTGCACCAGTAACTGTCTGAGGGGGTCAATAGTCTCATCCGGGTACTGAAATGGTGTTTCCTTATCACATGTGCAAACGCCTCAGATGTCCCCTTCACATCTTGTGTAGTTATCATGTCATAACATTTTGTACAGTGATGTCATAACACCTTGTGTGGTGATGTCATACCATTTTGTGTAGTGATTTCATCATTTTGTGTAATGATGTCATAACACTTTGTGTAGTGATGTCATAACACTTTGTGTAGTGATGTCATAACACTTTGTGTAGTGATGTCATAACACTTTGTGAAGTGATGTCATTATTTTGTGTAGTGATGTCATAACACTTTGTGTAATGATGTCATAACACATTGTCTTAAGCATAATTTTCATTACAAAAAATTGCAAGCTCATTCCCATTCCTTATGATGTTTTGTTAAAAATCATCCTATGCAGTGCAAGCTGTCTATGTAATATTTAGTTCTCTGATTTTCAGGGGGAAAAAAATGAAATTCATATTCAATGACATTAATATGCATATATGTAAATATATGTGTAGTAGATGTTCTTAAATCAACTTATATTAGTCGCTCTTGTTGGCTCAGATATTGGCATGTGGGTGGGTAAGTAAGTTTTGATATACCTAGGAGGATACCAGAGTACCTGGAGAAAACCTGTTGGACTGTAGGTGACCCCATGCCTTTTCACGTGCGATCGGGGAATCAAACCCCGGGCACCTTGGTGAAACAATAGACAGTAGTGTACTTTTTGAATGATAATTTGTTGGTTCAACTTATTCTGACAGATTTTGTATTTTTCTTTTTTCTTTCTTTTTTTTACAGGAGAAAAAGAAATTCAGAAAATGATGAAAAACTTTTAGTGTTGATAATTAAAGAAAGTGAAGATGGCTGACGAGACTGATGACTATGAGGCTTGTTTTCTGTGATCCAGTGATCGATGCAAGACATATTATTCCTTTGTGTTCAAAGTTGGAACATTCTCCACTTTAATTGAATTATGCATGCACAATTTCTAAATCTGAAAAGTGTCTACTGGTAAACAGTGTTGCTGATGAGAGTCGACAGCACAAGGAATATATTTCATTGTGATCTTTATCACAAGAAAACTTTCGTATTACTTTCCGGAAATATGGTACAGATGTATATAATATAATGTTAAGATTTTCCAGAAATGTAGTGTTTAGGGTCAAATGTGTTTGAGTCTTCAGATAGGAAGAACCGATACAGTATATATTTATATATGGGTTCTCTAACAAGTGATAATTGCTTTTCATGTTTATCTAACTCAAGTAAGTTGATTTTCAAATTATTTTTGACACAAGTTTTATCAAGTGTCTTTCATAATTTGAAAATTAACCATGTGAGTTGGATGAACATGATAATCAACCATCACAAGTTTTGGGGATCTTTTTTCTCCCACATCATTCAGATATTATCTATATGTAGAAACAACACATTTTTCTTGAGAATTCGTTATTCCTGTTTCCGATCAGTGAAACAATTGCCATAAACTATGATGTCTTATAGAAAGTAATGTGACGCCATAATTAGAAGATTGTCCTATGATATATAACATCCATAGTGTGTAACCAAAAATGTTTACCAACTCCTAGCAGGTTTATCCAATGAGTGGGGAGTGAGGAAACCTACATATATAGTGGTTGTGGGAGTGAGGAAACCTTTAGTGGTTGTGTGAGGAATATGTATTGGGAACAGTCTGTTACAGTGGTAGGTTGTATAACGTGTTGTTTTTGTTGTCACATATTATCCATTTATTCTGACGTAAAACTGGAGGTCAATCCAGTTAGATAACAATTTTTAGGGCATTTCTATGTCGATTCGGACACATTCATTTCTGAAATGGCAGGCTAGATGACATGGAAACTGCTGTGTTATCATCAGGTGACGACAAGTATTTTGTTACTGTAAAATCACTCCTATTTGTGGTGTTTATAATTTTGTTTATTCCATGGGTACTCTTTATCCATGTATTCATACATATATGTCTAAGTATCTTTTATTCATACAAAATCATGTTAATGCAAACACATCACATGCATACATTGTTACTGTATTTCTCAACGTAGATCCAGAAATTTAGAAATTTGAATTCATAACATCGGCAGCTATATTTGTCACTTTTAAAATGGGTTGGATTAAACATTTACGATGATATTTTTGAATTTGTGAATGACTCCCATGGTTAGCACTGATATGTGTCTTATGATGCATAAATTAATTTAATGTAGTCAGACAATTACTAGTCGTGAAATGGATTAAGAGAGATCAAGTCAATATTTTCTCTAACCTCAGACAGAGATATCCCACATGCACCATACTACCTTGTGCTAGATTTTTCTGTCTCCTACAATCTGTCTGGTACCTTCGTGTGACATTTGTCTCAAAATTTCATATACCGGTAGTGAATTCATGTTCATCTGCATATAAAACACTTTTTTCAACCCACAATTAAAATATTCTAATTTGTCATTAAATGTGTAATATTACATCGTTAAATGTTATCTATAATGTGAAACATGTTTTTTTTTCTTTTCTTAGCACATTCTATATGATTTTTTGCAGAAACATAACTATAAGTCGTGCTTAGGGCATTTTAATTTGAGGCCCAAGACAGGATACCTAACATAAACTATACTGAAACTAAATGGGTTTTTTAACTAATTTCATGCAAAAGAAATCCTGTAGCTGAGTAAAATCAGGTTGCATGTATCTCAGACTATCTACTGCTCCATCATTAGCCTCGAAGCCTTAAACGATCGTGAAGTTAAAGACATTTAACTACTTATGTGTACCCGGTAAGATTTTTAACAATTTCTCTGCTTAAGTTTTTTAATAGGAAAGCATTAATGAAGTTAATAGAAATGTTCATCAGATTTTTTTAACTCTTTTGTGTCTTCCCATGGAAAAAAACTTTTATTTCCCTTAAAAAAACACATGAAACTTTGGCCTTTTGAGTTCCTTATCCATACAGATATTGTATATAACCCACATCTAGCAGTCAGTCAGTTAGGAATTCATGTCATCAGGGCTTTTCTCATTTGCATAATACAAATATGTAAGGAACCTTGTTTATTTTGAAAGAATTTGATGTGTGACTGGTCATATGCTATCATTGGTGTTTAGTGGTTTGTATGCTTGAATACATGGTATATATGTGTAAGACCTTAGTTTGCTAAAACTGACCATGCACCCCTTGCATGATTGAAAAACAAGTTCCTGCTATAAAAAAAGATACCTTACTGATATGCTACACGCACATAAAATCCCAAAAAAGGCTACGCAAATAGTCCTGTGAATATGGTCATTGGACAAGGGAAATGAAAAATTAACTGCTTGCTTCACCAAACCCTACTGCACAGGGACCTCATAATTTAAATTGTTACAGCTATGTTTAGACCTAAACTAATTAAGGTGTTCAGAGTAATTTTACATGTTTTAGGTGTTAAGACAGACTTTCGGTAAAAATCACACCCTCAATGATACGGAAAGTCGATATAAACTCCTAAAACATGTAAAATTACTCTGAACACCTAAGTTTAGGCCCAAATATAGCTGTAACAAATTCTCAGGTCCCTGTGCACCAAACCACCCGGTATGGAGGAAATCATTCTATTTATGTAACTATTGAGTTTTACCTGGACAAGGTATCTGTGATATGTATTGTATATATACCAAATAAAGAAGACACTGCAGTGAACAAGGTTGTTTGTTTTGGTAATGTTGATTTTGTGACGTCACTGAATTATTTATCAACATGTTCAGGATGTCTGTCCCACTGCACTAGATACAGTTACCTCCCCTTAACCTTCGTTTGGATGACGAGCACATGTACAAATTGGCCTTAGTACATCCGTTTACCAGCTACAGATATATTCATCTGCTGGATAACAGAACTATATAGCTACACGGAAGTGAAGTGGACGTAAAACCAATCAAGGTTGGAATCCCGGTCTAGCGGAACTGCATTTTTTACACACAAAAAATACTGTTGATTATTGTCTTTTGTTTATTTCATCTCTCTTATTATTTCTCATACAATTCTCGCATTGTATGGTTTTCTTTACAGAAATGATTTATCTAAGGTAATCATTATGCCGGAAACCCAGTTCCCCATATGTAGATACAGTTTTTGGCAGTAGCACGGGGACTAAAATGTATCCTGAACGAAAATAGAAATTAATATATTATTATTAGTACCGGGACATATCTTCAATACTTCTTCACCTGGAGTAACCAGATTTGATGTACAAGGAACTTGGGATGGCCAGAGACGTATGTCTCTGGAATGGCGGAATGCAGAATGCAAGAAGAAGGGCACTATGACCTCACTGTGACCTTTGACCTTAACTTTTGAAAATGCTCGGGGCATATTTTCTGTACTATTTCACCTGAAGTAACCAGATTTGGTGAACAAAGACATCTTTGGATGACCACGGACTTAGATAACTAATCTAATTCCGTGGGATGACGGACTGCAGAATGCAAGAATTAGGTAACTGTGACCTATGACTTGACCTTTGACCGTCACTTTTGAACATATTTTCCGGGGCATACACAAATGCATCATCTATACTGTTTCACCTGGAGGAACCAGATCGGGTGTACAAAGCTATCTTGGGAGGAAGGAGTGCAGAGTGCTGGAATTAGGTCACTGTGACCTATGTTTTGACCTTTGACCTAAACTTTTGAAAAAGTTTGTTCGAAGATTCTTTCCTTATGTTACATGTAGGTACATCGTGATAAAAGTGTACTGTCTGTTAGATATAGAAATCATTACCGATGGAGGACTATGGATTGTCTTGTAGAACTTCGCCTTGTTTTATATGATCCAAAAACAAAAATGTCGAAAATGGCATAAAAATCGGTGAGCCCAATACCGAGATATTGACGCGTAAAGTGTTAAATTCACCTGTCCTTCTACATGTACTACTGTGGCAGGGTTCAATTGTACATAGGATTAAGGTCGCCTTCTAGCTTCGAGCTAGAGGGAATTTCTCCCAAGATAGCTTTGTACACCCGATCTGGTTCCTCCAGGTGAAACAGTATAGATGATACATTTGTGTATGCCCCGGAAAATATGTTCAAAAGTGACGGGAATTTCCCTCTAGCTCAGTGGTAGAGCATCCGACTATAGGAACCTGGAGATCGAGGGTTCGATCCCCGTTGGAAGCACACTATTCTCTTTCCTGTTACACTGCTAATAATTAGCATAATCATAACTGGTGGTGAATCGGACCCTTTCGTCAAGTGACATGAGATTTGAGAAATGAGATCGGGCTGAAGATGAAATTATGTAGATGGTATCCAGCCTTATTAAATCTGCCGGAAGTTTCAGATAGTGAGTTTAATTGAAACCAAAGTAAACTGACGACTCTGAAGAGTGTCCAGTTTCTGAGCACTGATGGGAAATATGTCGAATAAACGAAATAGAGGGAAATTAAACAGCAATAATCTCTATGTTGTTGATTCAAAAAAATGTTTATTCTTTAATTTTAGCTGGAAGTCAGTTTTCAATCATTTTCTTTACTCTGTAGTGAAAACTTATTCCATCATGTCGTCGTTGAACAGCAACATTTTCGTGACCAGTTTCTGTGTCGGATTACTTATATTGCAAAGTTATAAACTGTGGTACTGCTACGGAAATACCAGTGATTTTTTTTTTACAAAATTACTCCAACGTTGGTGTCTGCTATATTCTTGAATGGTAATAAAATGAATGGCATATTTTAAATATCGTACCGAATCATCACATATTGACGACATTGTGTCTTCCTTGTGTTAGGTCGACAATTCAAATAAACAGCAAAATACCGACAAACAGTTTCACATTTAATTTTATACAATACTTATGTATGCGGTGCTAAATTATCTTTATCTCGAAAATATAATTGAATCATGATATTCAAAGTATTCTGCATATATATATAATATACACGAGTAACATGTATAACTTAAAATCTTGGTTCAATAATGAAAATCATCTCGATCCAATTCCTTAGTGTAATGGAATGTATGTACAGATAAATAACACTTAACACACCTGTGTCCAGTGCTCACAGCAGGAAGCCCAAGTCACACCTTTATATCTGTGTCCAGGTATGACATAAAAGGGATGTCAGCAGGTGGGCAAGGGGGTACCTGAAGTTGTAGATTGGTGAATATTATGTGTGTTCCAATTTTCAATTTAACAACAATCTCCTCAGGTTAGATAACAGGGGAATTAATAATTAAAAAGGATCAATTTCAAGGGAAACATGCAGAAAAAGTGCGTAAGCACTAACTAGCACAGTCACATTACACAGTGTATATGCAAATTTAAACCATAACAAGTACAACTGCATCAAACAAATAATGCTGAACCATGTTATGAACGTTATATATATCTAATTAGGTGGTTCAATGGTAATTTATTTTCATTTTTGTGAGACTTCTTAAGATTGTTAAAATTGGTGTGTATATTTATTATGTGTAACAATAACATGAAAGACGTGTATTTGTTTTAACTGATCTCTCAGTTCCATAAAGAATAAAAATACGGAAAATATCCCCTCACGTTACCTCAATATTTAATGCAACTATATAAGACAACTTATGTCACAAATAGTACATACTCATTCACAATATTTTAAGTTTTTATAACTGTGGTTAAAAATACATGGGTTGCTGCTCATTTTGAGTATAAATTATTGTACTGATGCATTTTTGTTTATCAATTTCAATCGTATATCTCCATACTGTAAAGAAAGGGGTGGGGTTCGCTTCCGTTCATTTGACTCAATTCTTAATCAATTACTTTGTGTTGTATAAAGGGGCTCATTAAATTTTCTAGAGATTAATTGAATTATGATAATAAAAAGTACATTGTTAACAGTTCTGGTGTTACGAATTACGTACAAACACGGATTCATTTAGATAGCATCCGCATGTGTGCTCAGACACCCGCATACAGCACATCGTTTGGCTCCTCATTAGGAACTCATTTCATCATTAAAATTGGGAAAAAAGTAATTCATATATATATGTAGCACAATAAAATTATTACCTACACAAGTAAGTGACGACGGAACATATCATATAAGCTAAAAAGCTCGCATATCGAATGCATCACGTGTTCTCCTTGTATATAAAATGTATACTTTTGCGGTTTATGTTTGTGAAATGAAATTGTTTTGACTTGACACGATGTATTTCGGTACTCATCAGTAATACTGTCTGAATGGGAGTAAATACTCTTAAACTCATCGGTCATTTCTGTCTGGAGTGGAATTAAATATTAAATCATCAATCACACCTGTCTTAAAAGGAGTTCATGATGAATTCTTTAAATATACCTGTCTAAGTGGAGTTATTTTTTCAACTAATCAAACATACCTGTCTAGAGTGGAGTTACCGTTTAACTCATAAATGAAATCTGTCCGAAGCAGATTTACTGCTAAATTCTTCAGTATTACCTGTTTTAAGCGGATTTACTGCCAATCTCATCAATGATACCTGTCTAAAGCGGAATTACTGTTTATCTCATAAGCCGAATCTGTCTGAAGTGAAATTAATTAAATTCTCTGTTGAAGCATTTTTGGTCAATTTACATGTAGATTTATAATTTAGTCAAATTTTCGGGTCGTTCAAGTATTATTTTAATATTTTCATACATAAAAAGCTGCATTAATGTCTTGTAAGATTTCCATCAAAATGAACAATTATCGTTGACCGCAATGATACAAGAGGTGCGTTCGGTAGCGAGAACGTTCGCGAGCGTTTTGTTGGCGAACGTTCTGTGCTTACCGTACGCTGCGTTCGCAGAAAACAATTTCAAGATGGAGGAAATAATGAATGTGTTAATACTAGACGAACTAGCAGACGACTCTGTGGACCTTGCATCGTTTACAGATGCATCAGCAGCAGTTATCCAATCAAGTAACACTGCTTTGTAGTTGATGCTCGGTCATCGCAAGGATCCGACAAGAATCGACAACTATTTTGTAGAAATAGTTCCCTTTTACTCGATTGTCGAATTTAAGGGTCATTTTAGAATGACAAAATCGTCGTTTGAGGTAGGCTTACATCATTCACGGTGTGTTCGATGTTGCATTTAAGGAGACACTCTCGCTACTTATTACAGTACAGTAAATGTGAAACCTATCAATATTTAACATACCCTTTGGATAAAAACGGCATTATGGCGAACTGACTGACATAAATATACTAGCCTGTGTCAGTACATTTTGCTGTTGCAAGATATTCTAACTTACTTTCAATTTATAAATCTCGTAGTTTACATAATGGGTCGCATTCGTTTTTCGCTTAACGGTTGTACCAGGTTATTCGCGGGCTATAAATACTTCTTTCTATGACGTCACAATAGGCAGTCGTCACGCGAGATTTCCTGTCGTCATTGTCACTGTTGCTAGCGACGAAGGAAGCTACAGATTAACGAAGACGTGCGAAGGAGATATACTATTTTGGTTCCAAAAGATAACTTTTAAACTAGGTATAGGATATTTTATTTCGGAAGGTACGTATGAATCACGTATTCTCCATATATAAAATGTACACTGTTACGATATGTTTGTGATATGAAACTGTTTGACTCTACACAGTGTATTTTGGTACTCATCAGCCATAACTGAATAGGAGTAACTACTCTTTAACTACAATCATACATGCCTTAACCGGAGTTACTGTTAAACTCATCAATCGTACCTGTATAAAGTGGAGTTACAGTTTAACTCACCTATCATACCTGTCTAAAGTGGAGTTATTGTTTAACTCATCAATCGTACCTGTCTAAAGTGGAGTTATTGTTAAACTCATCAATCATACCTGTCTAAAGTGGAGTTAGTGTTTAACTCATCAATCGTACCTGTCTAAAGCGGAGTTACGACTAAATTCATCAAGCATACCTGTCTAAAGTGGAGTTATTGTTTAACTCACCAATCATACCTGTCTAAAGTGGAGTTATTGTTAAACTCATCAATCGTACCTGTCTAAAGTGGAGTTATTGTTAAACTCATCAATCATACCTGTCTAAGGTGGATTTACTGTTTAACTCATCAATCGTACCTGTCTAAAGTGGAGTTATTGTTAAACTCATCAATCATACCTGTCTAAGGTGGATTTACTGTTTAACTAATCAATCGTACCTGTCTAAAGTGGAGTTATTGTTTAACTCACCAATCATACCTGTCTAAAGTGGAGTAACTGTTTAACTCATCAATCATACCTGTCTAAAGTGAAGTTACTGTTTAAACCATTAATCACACATGTCTAAAGTGGAGTTACTGTTAAACTCATCAATCCTACCTGTCTAAAGTGGAGTTACTGTTTAACTCATCAATCATACCTGTCTAAAGTGGAGTTATTGTTTAACTCACCAATCATACCTGTCTAAAGTGGAGTTACTGTTAAACTCATCAATCATACCTGTCTAAAGTGGAGTTACTGTTTAACTCATCAATCATACCTGTCTAAAGTGGAGTTACTATTTAACTCACCAATCATACCTGTCTACAGCGGAGTTACTGTTAAACTCACCAATCATACCTGTCTTAAGTGGAGATACTGTTTTATTCACCAACAAGATTTTTCTTAAATGGGGATACCTCTGATCCAGATGTATAATATAACATGAAATTCATTCCGTTTTACACATTAGGTCAATTCAATTTGTTTGAAACATTAATATTGACCTAAACAGGTACAAATGTACTCGAAATATCTCCGAGTCCCCGCCTCAAACATATATGTTATTGGCTGGAAATAGTGCTTTACAGTGTTGCATGTGAATGGTCTGTTGGAAAACAATGCCTGCACGTGCATGGTTTATCGTCCAACAATACACCAATGAAAAGCGTTGTTGATTCACAGAAGTGGTAGAATGAGCTTACAGGCAATAATTTAACGACATGAACTACATTTTTCAGAATCTACAATGGATGACGAACAACTGCGAAATATTGCACAGATTTTGGTGAAGGATGTAATAGAGAAAGCCGTTGATAGAGTAAAGACCGAGAACAGGCAAATGGATGAAGGTCTTGACCAGGGCGTAGACGGCATTGTAGGACTGACCATTGGACGGTCAATCACGGCCATACGCGAAGGTCAAAGGTCACCAACTGACAACAAGATGGAGAGAATGTTCGGACTTAACAAAACCTTGGTTACTGCAACACCGGAAGTAACAAGTGGCACAACAGGAAGTAAGCCTCTGGAGATTAAAGATGATCGAATCAAACCAAGTGTTGGAGGAAACGATAACAAGCCTCATATCATCACCTCTCACCCCGTCAAAGGTAATTTTTAAAAATCAAAATATTCCTGTCTCATGCATGTGCTATTTACTCCTTTAGCTTAAACTACCAAGGTATTTCAAAATGGCATATTACTAAAAAGATGTAGTCACAAAGTTATATTTCATCTATTATTAACGTTACTAAGATATCGTTTAAAACGAATCAGTTTATAACGTTGATTTATAGTGAAAAATAGAAAAAAAATTATCAAATAAAAATGATCAAATTGTGTTTCTTTTCGGTCTTTATTATCAAAGACGACAAGCCGACAGAACTGAAGAAAGAGCACGTGATTACAACGCATGAGCATTTAAACAAGACTTTCGGTAAGAAGAATGTACTGGGACGATTGTTGGACAGGATCCTCAAGGTAACTTCGGTCGATTAACATTTCTATTAGATCGTTGATCAGTGTCTCACCATTGTAACAAAAACTCAAAATTGAAATAAATATTATTTCTTTATCAACATCAAACACTAGTACCACCACATGTAATTTCACAGAAAGGCTCGTTCAATACACAAGAAACATCTGACTTTGAATGAATAAAGTCAAAGTTTAATATATAACTTAAAAATAAGTCATACATAATATTAAAACACTTAATTAATGTATTTATTAGCTTGATTAAGTTAATGCAATTCGATTTTAACGTTTTGTTTCAGAGAGACAAGAAAGAGGCTAAGGAAATCGATGCTGCTACAGCAGGTGAGAATAGTATTCACTCGATAACATCGTTCAGATCCGGTCTTTCAGTAGATCATACATTTGGGAAATTAATGAGAAAAAATACCCTATAGCATTTCCGCTTCATTGAAGTCAGGCAAGAACTAAAATAGGTACATACCAGAAAAGTCTGAATGATTACCAGATGATTTATATGCGATCGGCACAGCTAGGTATTGGAGTTAAGCCAAAAGAAAAAAGGGATATAGAAAGAAAAAGTCTATAATTATAAAGGCGAATCAGGTTCCGGACCGGACCTTTTTCCCGGTGCCTTTTCAATAACTGTTTTTTGGCCTTTTCTCGGCTTTAATCGGGAAGGAACCGTCTGCACTTTCCGTAACGTATTTTTAACGTTTATGGAAAGTGCCGATGGTCCCGATTGCTCTCTGCTTGTGTGAAAAGCTCGTGTGCACGGGGTTATGTGATTTTATGTTCTGTACCGAGTCAAACTTAATAAAAAAAAAAGAGCATGGTTTTATCAGATCAATTATCTATTTTGTTCTCTCTTCCATTTTAATATATTGTTATTTTAATGTTAATGTGTTACTTTCGATGTCCAATAGGTGGCAGCACCAGTACCTCAGTCGGTGGAAAGAAGAAGAGCGCATCCAAGGCCCATAACAAGAGAGACTGGATACGTAGAAATCTCCTGTGCTGCTTCGTCAGACAGACTGCCACAGTCGAGCCTCTATAAATGAATAAATACATCAAGCGAAGTCATGGACATTCCGAATATAATGTGGCTTACATGTATCATATTAACGATATAAACAAAAACAAAATAATGATAATATTGAATCAATTTCTAAAAGTAAAAAAATAAGAAACCCGGATTCAAGTTTGGTGACAGAGTGAAATTATCGTAAGATATATACTTTATTTAATTAAATAATCCAATCCGTTTAAGCATTAGTCAAAGCAATCTTAATTTTAGCAGTGAAATACTCATTGTTCAAGTCAAGTTTTTGTCATTGTAATTAAGAGATAGACTGGATTGCCCCCCGTACTATCACTACTCTCCGCCAGGCTTCGAAAGAATACAATTTATATCGGACCGCGCTCGGCCATTTCCGTGATATCACTGACTCTCAAGTATGCAAAGGAAAGGGGCGGAACGATCCGATTGGTAAAATAGTATCATTTTTTTCTGATATTGGCCGTCACAGAGCTTCGAGTAATGAATAGTACTGATAAAATATGTTTTCATGCTTGACAATTTGTATACGTACATCTTGTTTCAATTATTAATAAACACTGATGTCTTTCTTCTTATTTTCGTTTTGTGTGTATGTATGCTTATACTTACTAAAAAATCAAGTTATCAAGGGATGGTCTCGTTTATAGAAACTGATACATATATATGTATATTTAGACACTACCAGAGGGAATTGGAGTCATTTTGACGTATCTTCTTCTTCTCCTCCTCCTCCTCCTCCTCCTCCTTCTGCCTAATAAAACATGGGACCATAGTATAACACAGGGCGAGCCTCAGTTTAGTATTAAGGAAATAGAAACAGGAAAAAAATCACAACAGAGGAAAACAACTATGCATACACAAATGTTATTTACATCAACATATTTAAAAAAGGAACCAACCAGTATTCACACTCGCTATTACTCTCACTACCCGTCCTACATTTATCTATATAAATAACTACAGTCTCTTCACATCCGGGAAGTACAACACCTAAGACAGCTTCTCTGCATCTGTCACAACATACGGGTACACGAACCTGAGAAGGTACCAAATCCTCTCCACATTGTCTTTGCTTCTGATCAAAGTAATATTCAAGAGCAAATATCTTGTTCAAAAGCACAAAGATGAGGTCAACATTCAGTCCCTACTCCAATTTTTTATACTGTTTCGCTATATGTGGATACATAAAAACTGAACAATAATTGCATATAAAACTATTCATTATTATTACTGATAAGCGTAGTGGACCTCCTTGCATAACACCAAGGAACCGCAGTGGCCAAGTGGTTAAGGCGTCTGACATTCTGCTACCACTAGCCCTCCACCACTGCGTCGCGGGATCAAGGCCTACGGTGGGGCAGTCGCCAGGTACTGGCCGTAAGGTCTATGTTTTTTCTCCGGGAACTCCGGGAACTCGGGCTTTCCTCCACCACCAAAACCTGGCACGTCCTTAATGACCATAGCTGTTAATAGGACGGACACAAACAAACCAAACCTGGCACGTCCTTAAATGACCATAGCTGTTAATAGGACGAACACAAACAAACCAAACCTGGCACGTCCTTAATGACCATAGCTGTTAATAGGACGAACACAAACAAACAAAACAAACAAAACCATGCACAACACAAGGTTGAGGGACGAGGGTATCCCAACAAAATGACAGATATATGTCTCTTTCACGTTACTTATGTTAATTTATAACAAATCGTAACACAAGATTTGAAAGGATTCCATTTTTATCAATTTCAAATTTTATCACTACTACCTGCGTTCGGTAATTCGGCAGCATTGACAATCAGTCCTGAGAAATAATCCAATCCGGGGTGATAATGCACATGACGAGCAAAACACAAATACCTTAATACCATGGCTACGTGTGAGCAGAACATTAACAGTACCAGCCGGTTATATTGCGCTCTGAAAATTCCACCAAGAGGTTGTGTTGCTTTGCGGAAAATGTTTCCATGTTTTCATAAAACGGTACTGAACTGTGTTGTCTGCTGCAGCACATTCAACCATTCGGCGAGCGACGTCACAGTCTGACGGTAGAGATGTCCGCAACGGTGGCCCGATGATGCTGATAAAATCCCATACATTGGGCAGATCTTTGTTTGGTACAATACTGCACAGGTACTTCCAGGTTTTTAATCTACCGTTGACAGTTTCAACCGCCCAACGAATTTTTCTTTACCAGCCGGGAATTGTTGACATCTTCGGTTGACATTTATTTCTTTCCTCTTTTAGGAACGCTGGCGAGTGCGTTTCAATCTCAATTTCTTCGAGAAAAGAAGGAAGAATATCCCGAAATTCGCGTTGAAGGGTGATCATATCTTACTGTTTCATCCATGCAGATATATAATTGCCGCTTCATTGTTAGAACTCTTAGTTTGTAGCCAGCATCATGGTCATCATGGGTTTTATCAGGGGGCGGTACTTAGGCATAGAGAAACATTTCCTTTGATATTTTTGCTCACTGCTAGTTCATCCATGATAAGAATAACTGAATCTGAGGTGAAATTGGAAAATAATTGAACGGCTAAATCGGTTGCATGTTTTTTTTAAAGATGTCTGATCTAGCGATATGTTGAAGTCCTAGGTGCGATGGTACGAAGTCCTTTTTCAAAGCCTTTTTTGCTGCTGCGATGTAATGAGCCACCTTCCGCCTGCTGCTGATTGCATAATGTTGCAATGACCATGAAGTTAAATAAACGTGTCAACATCGGGATGATTTAACACAGATTGATACATGAAATTTGGTGAAAATAGGAAATGTATAATATAACTTTGTAAAGTATACAAAGTACGACTAGCAATAAACCGACACTTAAAATACTGATTTGCCTTAATCGAGAGACGATATTTTGTAATGAATAAACAAAACTGAGATATATATAGAGAGTATCTTATAAATGGTGATGTAATATCATTTACATCCAATAGAGTTAATTAACTCTTAATTAAAGCTTCTACCACCAAGAGCTGTAGAGACTTACTTGTTTAATAATTATCTGACGAGAAAAAATGATATTATATTGTAACGCATGTGACATTTGGTTTATTGCTCTGGCACATCTTTATTGTGGTAGTACGCTGTTATAAGTCAACGTGTTGATGAAATAATAACGGTTTCGTATAAATACATTATTGACACCATTTATTTAGCGACGTAACAATTCGAAGGTGTGATTTGGTTTGAAGATTGCAGATATATTTTATATAATAATAATATTTATAAATTTACCTATCGGACACTCCTATACGCAACTTCATCAGGAGCATTCCATCTAGACTACCTGTGCGATTTGGATTTCTTCATTGACTTCACTATGGAACACGTGTCATCAAATTGCTGTCTATTCAACCCAGTTGTATTGTGTAACTGATCATCTGTCATATTCATGTTGTCAAAATCAATCTTACTGGTGTTTATCGCAACATTACACAGTCCAGTGAGAGAAACGATTCATTTATCTGTGGTCACCTTTGAATTACATTTCAATGCCGTCACATTTTCCGTTACCCCCTGGTTCAGTTTTGGGCAATTTAGGTGTGACTTGCAACATCGTGTTCCCTGGGGAATCAACACACATTAATGACTGACAAAGACCTGCAGACATGTCTGTGAGGGTACATTTGTCATGCCGTTACCTGTTTTCTTACAAAACATACATCCTGATTTTGTTCTTCCTGCACCTTAGAATGGTAAAATTACATATAATTTTCGAAAAGAATATCTTACACGTGTATTGCGCTCCTTACTTTGTGTTGCAGTTTTCCTGTATTTTAATCCATTGAGACCATCCTCAATGATGACTTTTCCCCGCATTTTTGGTAAAATATTTGCCATAATTGTTCATTCTTCTTAACATATATAATAACTTTTGTCAGTTGGTGGGTAAACAGTTCATAAATGTAATGTAAAATGATGTCTTACCTTCAAAGGCTTTTAGCATAGCTGAACTGTACACGTGTACAGGATTTGTTGACATGATTCTTAAGAAGTATGTCACACTAAATGATAACAAAAATATTCTAAACAAAACTGATAAATGTATAGGTATGTTATTAAAATATAAACAAAATGTTCTATTGATTAAAAAAAATAAAAATATTACGTAGTTTAGAAAGAAGATAACAACATGCTTAAATATAAAAGTAATAAAGAAGAATTTTAATCTGAACGTGGATTCGAACTTGCACTGTTCCTTTTCTGGTCAAAAGTAAATAGCCTTACACATTCGGCTAGATTGAACATAGAACAATATGGAAACACCAACTGATTAAACCAAGAAACACCTGTCGCAGTTTTGAGAAATTTGATTACCCCTGTTTTTCATTATTTTGAGCACTTTCCCAAAGAAGGACCATTTTCCCGTCGTACGTTTATTTGTTTTTTCGGGGGTTTTGTCATTTGTTACACGGAATCAAAAACAATATCAAAAAGTTTGTCCTCGGATGGGAACGTGTTGAAAGTACATTGTTTCCTTAAAAGTGTTGGAAACCCAATCCCTTTCATAGATATAGTGAAAATGGTTATATCTGCAGTATTATATAAAAAAAAAAAAAAACACCTAATATCTCAGTAGTTGAAAAAAAAAATATTCAATTGTTTTTTAACTCTTCTATGCATTTTCGCTACTAGAAATTATTTACTCCTTATTTTTTTTTCATCTTAATAAATGCCGACTTGGGGAAATAGTGACAGTTATACGCCATAGCTCTTTAACGATTGTCGTTTTTGTAATATGTGTTATATTCTGTATCAAATTAATAGTAGGAATATGTTGTACACGATAATGATATAATTTTAAAGTAATTGTGTCATTTAAATATCTATGAGGAGTTGTATTACCGCATATTTAACACTCACACAGGTGTAAGTCAATGAGGTCCCATTTGTCATAAAATAATTTCTGAAACTAACTATTCCTGATTTAAGCTTCTCGTACCCATATCTTTTCATTTACTGCTTATGTTAAAATTTAATCCTATTTAATAACTGATATTTACAATAAGTGTCCTTTAATGTTGCCAGCATATTATGTTCTTAGATGCATGCTAAAATCTACATAATTAATTAAGGTTTGAAATGCATCTTTTTAACATTTATGAGGGTATGCAACACAGCTCCGCTAACGCGCATCATGGAATAAGTTTGAACGGAACTGTGTAGCATACCCTCATAAATGTTAAAAAGATGCACTTCAAACCTTATATTTACATTCTATTACATCCACTTTTATTTTATTAATAGTCTTTTTTCACGCTAAAAAGCAAAACACCGTCATGAAAACAACATTAATTGAACAGCCTTTTTCGCGGGAAAGATGAAGCGTTGACAACGGTGACGAAATACACAGTTGAGCAATAAACAAATCGTTCCACTTTGCATATTTTTTGCTAATTTAATTTTCATTACCAGCATGTTTAACAAGCATTGGTTATCTTAAAATTTGACAGTAGATCTTTTAAAACAAAAATACCATATAAAATATTTTAGTTGCCAAAAGTCAGAAATTTATTTCGTGTTCGCGGAGAAAGCTGAACGTTTAAACATCCGGCAACGAAGCGGTTCCACTTTCAATGAACGAGATAGAAAGTGCATCCGTGAAATATTGAGTTTTCCTTTGAAACTAGAAGACGATTTAAAATATGCTATTTGCTGAATTCTTGTGTCGATCGACTGTGTCAACAGGACTAGCTCATCGTTTGAGCATTCGGTATGTGTTACTATCGATGAGGGACTGCCCGACGAGCCGGGACGATTTCACCTGCTTCGCCACTTGCAACGGACGCTAGTGTAGATTCTAGAGGAAAGTGAATTATTCTGTTCTGTTGAAAAGGACCGGTTATAGGATCTCATAGCAGACACGCTTCGGTGGCCCGCCATATACATGATGTTCCTTGATTCAAAACCACAGTCATTCCATATTCTAGGGACACGTCCGCGACGTCGCTGTCAGGCATAATGGCTGGAACACAGGGGTTCGTTACAAATGTTTGTAGCTGGAGTTAGCACACGACGCATTTTTGACGTTGAATACGCCGACTTAAATTTCACGGTGATTTCTTGTTGATGATTTAAAAAAAAGGATTATCAAAATATATTTACATGTATTTTAACCGTTGATTAACAATCTTGTTTTGTTTTTGGTTTGTTTGTGTTTGTGTGTGTTGGGGGGTCAGAGGTCATGCAACGGTACATGTTGTACTGTTAATATTACTACACACTTGCTTTTATTGAATCATGCAAACATTTTAGTTGGTACTGTTATCTAGTGGCACTGCAACACAAATGTAAATAACTACTGATGAGTTCATATATACGACTATCACGCGTCATTCGCCGTTTCTGGGCTTCCGTAGATATTCCTTCTGCGCGCACTCCATACATAGTCTACCCTTTAAATTAAAGGCTTTCTCTGTTGGTGCATTTTTATCGCGTATTTCAAGTATTGTGTTAATATTATCAAAGAATGTCCAACGGAAATTTATAAAAAAAATTGCGTGAGTCCCTGTTAGAATTCTATCAATATAAATATTTATCATTGTCCGCAAAGATAAAAAAATGTGGTTCGCAGGCTATAAATATTTATTTCTATGACGTCACAATAGGCGATCGTCACGCGAGATTTCCTGTCGTCATTGTCACTGTTGCTAGCGACAAAGGAGGCTACAGTCAACTAGACGTGCGAATTCGAAGGAGATAAACAATTAACTTTTGTTTTAATCACTTTGCAATAAGGAACAGGATCTTTAAAAGGTATGTACTGTACTTAGTCTCTTTGAATATGAACAAATTGAGTTTAACCGAATACGTAACTGCTTTAACTTAACGCAATGTATTTTACCACTTGTCGACCATTTCTGTCTGAAGTGGAGTCACTGTTTAACTCATCATTCACACCTGTTTAAAGCGGAGTTACTGTTTATGTCATCAATCATACCTGTCTTAAGCGGAATTACTGTTTATATCATCAATCATACCTGTCTAAAGCAGAGTTACTGTTTAACCCACCAATCATACCAGTGTAAAAGATGTGGATTAATTAGGTTGCCTTACAAGCGTCAGCTGTAGGGAATTTCCCTTTAGCTTAGCGGTAGAGCATCGGGCTGGAGAGCCAAGGGTCGCGGGTTCGAGCCCCAGCGACGGTACTATCTTTATCACTTTTCCTCGTCCTATTACACCTGTCTAAAGCAGAGCTACTGTTTATGTCATCAATCATACCTGTCTAAAGCAGAGCTACTGTTTAACTCATCAATCATACCTGTATAAAGCGGAGTTACTGTTTATGTCATCAATCATACCTGTCTAAAGCAGAGCTACTGTTTATGTCATCAATCATACCTGTCTAAAGTGGAGTTACTGTTTATATCATCAATCATACCTGTCTAAAGCAGAGCTACTGTTTATATCATCAATCATACCTGTCTAAAGTGGAGTTGCTACTTTCCTCACTAATCATACCTGTCTTAAGCGTATAGTCACTGTTTAACTCACCGCAAGTTTTTTTTTCTAAAACAGGGGTAGTCTTGATATAGATGTATCTAATGAAACGTGTAATTTGCATTCCATTTTAAAGATTTTGTAAGTAATGAAACATTACTATATAGACCTAATCAGGTACTCATAATATCTCGAGTCTCCGCCACAAGCAAATATCATAGAGTTGCACCTACATGGTCTGTTGGATAATAATACATGCACGCGCATGGTCTATCGTCCAATAATACATAGTTATTAACCAATGAAAAAGAGTTGTTGAAGCAAAGAAGTGGTGGAATATACCATGAACGTACAAATACAATTTAACGAAGTATTTTTCTTTCAGAATCTACAATGGATGATGAACAACTGCGAAATATTGCACAGCTTTTGGTGAAGAGTGTAATAGAGAAAGCTGTTGATAAAATAAATACCGAAACAAGGGAAATAAACGAAGGTCTTGACCAGGGAGTTGATGATATTGAAGAGATGACCATTGGACGGTCAATTATGTACATCCGCGAATTTCGAATTTCACCAACTGTTAATAAGATTGAGGGAATGGCAGGACAACTGGATAAGGAAGTAGACGACATTGTAGGACTGACCAGTGAACGGTCAATCACAGCCATACACGAATGTCAAAGTTTTACAACTGACAATAAGACGGAGGGAATGATTGGACTTCACAAAACCTTGGTTACTGCAACATCGGAAGTAACAACTGGCGCTACAGGAAGTAAGCCCCTAAAGATTAAAGATGGTCGAATCAAACCAAGTGTTGGAGGAAACGATAACCAGCCTCATATTATCACCTCTGACCCCGTCAAAGGTAATTTTAAAAATTAGAATATTCCGATCTCATGTATGCTTTATTTACTTCTTAAGTTTAACAACTCAAGTATTTCATTATGTACAAAGAAATAACAAATTCTTAAAAAGACGTAGACATCTAGTCACAAAGCTATATTTCATTTATTATTAACGTTATTAATTAAGAGATAATTTTAAAACGAGTTTGTTTATATCGTTATATCATAATGAAAAAATAGCATCGCTTTAATCAAATTTCGGCCTTACTTCATAAAGACGTCAAACTGACAGGACTCAAGATAGGGCACGAGGCTACAACGGATGCGCAGATGACCAATGCCACCCAAAAGAAGAATGTACTTGAACGATTGTTGGACAGAATTCTCAAGGTAAGGCTACTATATCTGTCTTCTGTTGATAAAGATGTTATTTATTAGATTGTTAATCAATCTCTAACCATTCTAATAGAAATCCAAAACTAAAATGTATATATATATTTTTAATAAACATCAAACGCTTTCACGACTATACGTAATTTCACAGAGAAAGGGTTGTTCAATTAGACGAGGAATTATACTGATGTTACACGATGTTGTCAATGTTTATTAAAAAATTTACGTAAAACAACAATTAAAAAAGCTTTCTGCTAACTGTATCAAATAATACAGAATATTAAAAGACCATCGAAAATATTTAGGAGCTTGATTGAATTGATGTAATTCGATTTCACGTTTGGTTTTAGAGAAACAAGAAAGAAGCGAAGGAAATGAATACCGCTACAGCTGGTGAGAATATTATTCACTCGATAAAATCGTTCATATCCGGACCCGTATTCATGAAACCGTTCTCATGCTCAAGCATGGGTTTTGTGCCCAAGCCTAATTTCTTGTTCTAGTTATACATTGATAAACAAATGTTATTTTGTCAATGATTTGAAAAAATCCATGTTTGAGCATGAGAATGGTTTCATGAATTTCAGTATATCAAATATTTGGGTAAAAACATGTTTCTCAAAATTAATCAGAAAAACGTATTTTCTCGTTTACTGAAGGTGCCGACGTTTCACGTTTGCTCTCTGCTTGTGTGTGGTTATGTGACTTTATATTCTGTACCGAGTCAAACTTAAGAAAAACATGATTTAATCATATCAATAAACCATTTTGTTCTTCCTTCCTTTAAAAAATACTGTTATCCGCGATGTAAATGTGTCATTTTCAATGTTTAATAGGTGGCAGCACCAGCACCTCAGTCGGTGGAAAGAAGAAGAGCGCATCCAAGGCCCATAACAAGAGAGACTGGATACGTAGAAATCTCCTGTGCTGCTTCGTCAGACAGACTGCCACAGTCGAGCCTGTATTTGACTAAATACAGACAGAGAAACAAGTCATGAACATTAATGAGAAAAAAGTCTGTTGTAAATAATAGACCTGCAGTAGTGACCAGTATATATTACAGCCTGCTTTCCTTTGTTATAAAGAGACAGACCGGATTTCCTGCTGTATCATCACTGAGATATGTTAAAACTATTAGATAAAATATTTGTAAATAAAGAAAAACAATGTTTTGTTGTTTAAATCATCTTTTGTGGAATATGATTGTAATATTGTTTTTTATTTTAGAATAATTATTTGGCGAACGTAGTTCCGGTGGTCGTGGCTTATATTTCTTTCTTTTTCATGAAACAATGAAACGAACATTTTGACCAGTCAGATTCAGGTATTTTGTTTGAAAACAAAGAAAACATCATTATTTAAGAATTGAGAGTGATTTGTTTTTAATTTTCATTGGAGTATGAAAAATAACTTATTTGCAAACTGTTTGTTTAAAATAATAATCTTTCTCCATGCTTAATTATTGGTTATGTAGCTCATCCTGTTGTGCAAAAATCAGAGTCTCTTAAGTTATACGGGGTAACAGTGCGTCTTTCAGTTAAGAGAGAGTTTCCCAACCTGTTTCAAAATACAACGACTCTCTACTAGCAAAGGATGGTAAACCCGTGACAATACTGACAACACTTCTAATTGTAATTTTCCTACTTTACATGCATCGGCGCTAGAACAACCATCCCATTTCTCACAACAATATTCCAAAAGAAGTAAGATGTATGAATTCTAGTTCATGTTTTACTATCTAGAGTGTATTTTAAATTGCGTAGTATACCTAAGTTAATGTCTAATTCGTACTTTGTATTTGAAATTAGTAATGCTTCCGTTTTCAAAGGGTTAAATTTTACAAGTCAGCTGCCTGCCCATATTAAAAACAATTTCGAGGTCCTTATTGGTGGTGGTTTCTAGATCATTTGCGGAAAAAGCAGAGGACAGTAAGTGAAGTATCATCAGCGAATAAGCGGGAGAGACTAACAAGATATCGTTGATATATAGAAGGAAAAGCAAAGGGCCTAGGACAGAACCCTGTGGTACACCAGCATTAGTTGTTTTTGAATTAGAAGATGGCGATTGCTTACGTAATCAGATAACCAATATAAAAGATTACAAAACATAACATAGCTTTCTTATTAATGTACAAGGCCTGCATGCCATACTTTGTCAAAAACCTTCGCAATTTATGACTTTCGAGATTATTGCATACAGTGTGATACATTTAATTAGCTGGTGTACCGAAGATTGTTCTGGCTGGAATCCAGACTGGTATTTATATAGCAATGAATTATCTATAAATAGTTATGAAGGTATTTAGTAATGACTTTTTCAAAAAACTTTGCCAACAGTGCTTAACAGAGATATGGGCCTATAGATACTGGGACATTGTTTGTCGCCTTTTTTTAAATATAGGCATAACTAAAGCAATATTCCAAGATTGTAAATATATTCCTTAGACAAGTGATTTTCTAAATATATGAAATACTGGGTATGAAACAGTATGAGCAGTATTCGTAAGCATATGATGACTAATTTTGTCATGTCCAACTGCTTTACCTATATTAAGTGATTTAAGAAAGTCAACGACATCCGATTTTGTAAATTCTACATTATCAATTCTACTCTCTGTCCGAAGATCAATAGGTGGTAGAGGTACGTCAGAATCATCTATAGTGGAAATGAATACAAAATAGTCGTTAAGGATATTGGCTTTACGCTCGGCATCAACTTCAACCAAATTCGAAATAGGGTTTTAACAGAGGGGGTATACTGTTAAATACATCATTGGATTTTATTAGTCTACGTACCAGTTGCAACAGGTTATTTTTATTTGATCTTATAGTCCATTCACATCAGCATAAAAAAGTTCACGTGTTCTTCGTTTAAGATTGTTGACGTGATTCCACTTTTTTAATTACTTACATTATCTACAGAAAAATGACTTTTTATTTTTATTTGAAGTCTATCTCTGATCCTTATTTCACGTCGTATCTCTAAAGGGAACCATGGTTTATCATTACATCGAAATGTAATAAACTTCGTAGGAATACAATCATGAGCTATTTCCATCATATTTTAGTAAATAGCAAGCACATTTCATCACATGTAGTAGCATTACTAAACAAATCATGCTAATCGGTGTTTCCTAATGAATAGTGAAATCTATGGTAGTCAGCATACTTATAGCACCAGATCATGCGTTTCAATTTGATAGTAATGTTACCATGGCAGCACAGGGGCACGTTACAAATGTCTGAAATACACACATATGCTANGGCAGCATGATGGTCCGGAATACCCGTGTCTATTTCAATAACATCCGAAAACCCGACCGCGCATGTCTCACTCACAGGTACAGGGTCAAGGAGAAAGGCACGTGTGCGAACTACAAGCTTAGATTGGCATTTACATCACCAACTATTATTACATGTTGGTTTTCATTTAGAGCCTTTTCTGTGGAATATTTAAATTGTTCCCAAAATGGATTTACACAATCGTTGGGTCTATAGCTAGACTGAACGAAGAAGATACGAAGAGTTGTCAATAGATACTTCAGTCCAAATGACCTCGCCTGACGGAAATTCTAAATCAAGACGACGGTGTGCCGAAAGTAGATGCGAGATATATACAACAACATCTCTCCTTGGGAGTATTCTCGATCTTCCCCGAATGGGTAAGATTGGAAACCACTAAGTGATAGATCACTATCAGGGATGCTATTATCTAGATGGTAATAATATGAAAATCGCCTGAAATATTGTCAAGGTGAGTTATTCTACTTCTTAAAGCTGACAATGCAAGTTAAAAAGCTTTCAATTGAGTTTTAAAAAAATCTGGTTTCGAGATTTTCCCAAGTGACAATCTCTTCCTGCTGTCGTATCTAAAGAAGCGGCGACATTTTAGAATGTACTTGCTTGGTAACGAGTAAGGGTATCGCTGGGTATAAAAAGTGCATTACCCGTCAAACAGTTTATCATTTGCTCAACTTGTGCGCAAGGTGACACTACTATACTATATAAATAGAACACTGTCACGATTTTTAACCAACATTTTTTTATCAGATCAGTTGAATAGAATTGAAATAGATCACATCGAAGATATCATTTATCTAAGAAAAGTGGAAATAATAGTAAAATAATATCAATTAAAATATCTAATGCACACATATTATTTGAAGTATTTTCAGTAGTGTATACATTTAATTTTGGATACACAATTTCGAGAATGTGACATAAGTAACAACCAGATTGGCATTATTGCAAAGTCTTCAGGTGCGTGAATCGAAAGACGGCAGTTGTAGAATGATAACCGGTTTGACAGGTAATGCGCTTTTTAAAGCCAAACTCGTTACCAAGCAAGGGTAAACTAAAATGTCGATACTTCATTAGAAACGATAGTTGGAACAGATGGGGAAGATACCAAAAGCAAAAAAAAAAAGAAAATCTCAATTAAAGCTTTTTAACTTGCACTATCAGCTTTAAGTTTGGGTATACTTGATCTGAATAACGTAAAACATGAGAGAAACCAACCAATCAAAAAGTAATGTAAAAATATGGCTTGAATGGGGTAAGACTAGAAAAACTGAATAGTATATGTACATTATTTACAATACCAACAGATATGTTAAGTTTATTGGTTTTAAAATTTCAATTGACTTAATCTTGCACGCAGGGTTGAAGCCTAATAATCATGCATAAGCGAATTCACGGGGTGTCACGAGAGCAGAATCCAACATATAGAAAATATGTGTTACACTGAATCAGATGTAATATTTATCATTACGATGTGTCGGACAGGGTCAGAGGATATGTTTTATTTCAGTTAAGAAGTTAACAAAAAAGCGATAGCACATGTAATAGCAGAAAAAGAAACGTGCCAAAATTTGACCTGATATATCGTCAGTTTGAAGGGGCCTACTGAGGCGTGCTTTTCATTATGTTAATCATCGATGTTTTTACGGCACGTAAGAAAATCAAATTAAAGTATTTTTCGTTTTATATCTTTGACATGTTTCACACTCTGGGTGGGGTATTTACAGAAAGTTAATCCTTTTTGCTTTGTAAGAAAAATAAAGCATGCAAATTGTATCCTGCTGATAAGAAAACATAGTGAAGGTAAGCAGGACGGTAATTAAATGAGAAACTCTATAGTGTTTCGCCGACAGTGGGATAGGGATTCTTAGATTTCTCTAGTGAAATCACAGAAACTTTATTAACCACTCATTGTAGAAGACTAAAAGACATTGAAAACATCTCTAATCGTGACAAAAAAACTGAAATGCCAAATCAGTTCTGGCTTATTTCAGCATTTATGCCAGAGGTAAAGATCAACTGTGAGAAAGTTATTGCATACGCATCATCTTTAGACTCATCAACCGATGTCCTATGCAGTCATTTTAAAGCCAAAAGGTAATTTATTTCGATAATTGTGACATGATTTTAATATTTTCTTTCGCATCTACAATTTTTGAGTCGCCAAAGATTTGAATTACGTCACAATGTTGGCGCTGATAGAATACGTCCATCGGGGACAATTCAAACACAGGGTTATAGTTCAACGTTACTTAGTATATAGTATTCATTTTCCCGTTAATATTGCCCTTTCAAAACTATATGATGCAACACATTGAAAAACCTGAAATGTTTCAAATAAAAAGGACTTAAAGGGAGCTTACCTGTAACTGTATCTGGACTTTATGATTATATTGTAGCACCAAAATTAATTTAATTTAGTTTTTTCTATCAGCATGTCAGTATCGAGTTTTGTGGGCTCCTCATTTTGCTTAAATGATATTAATAATAAATTAATTAACTAAACTAAAAAAAAAACCGCATGGTCCAGCTGTAGCTTAGTAATCATTCCCGTTTCCGGATCAATGTATACCATACTTTAGGTAAAGTACTTGTTGAAATAAATCTTTTGTCTGAAATAAAGTAGTAGCCACTAACATATATTTCCTACCGAAGTATCCATTTTGACCCTTATCGAGATAATCTCATGGCCATAGTTTATATTGTTGATGACATGATTATCAAACTACTTCCATCCGTACCTACATGGACTACGTCAATAGACGCCATAACATATAAGTACTGTCACTTTCCTACTAATTTCACGGATATAATGTATAAAGAACGGATGACTTAGTTAATTTTGATATGTATTTAGGTATAGGTTAAGA